TAACAAAAATGGAATAAAACAAGCGATGGATGTTGCAAGTCAGGCTTTTTTGCACGACACAAAAGATAACATAAGTCGGCGTGAATGGGGATTGAAAGAAAAGGTAAATTTCACTGAGTTTAAATATAATATTGAATATCCGTATGTGTATGTCTTACTTTTTGTAAAAGTTTTATCTTCATGTTACCATTTACTGTATTTTTCCCCAGCTGGCTTCGCAAGTACTTATCGACGTAATTGCAAGTTTTTAATTCAGCAAATATTTCTATAATACCTTTCTTGCATAATGTCTATTTCACATGGCACTGTAGGCCCTCGTGCTGCAGATTCCCAGGTTCAATGATTGTCATTAGATTAGGCATTTATTTATTTATTATTAGCATGGGAATTTTCCACACTACGGTTATTATATAGATTCCCAGATAGTTGTCTGAGTATCTGTATAAATAAGGTAGACATAAATTTATTGGTAGCAATAATTACCTTCACAAGTATGTTGTCTTTGAGTTGACAGCTGAACGACACTGTTGCTAGGATAAATCGCAAGAAAACGGAGTGCTTACTTTGTACTTGGACGTAGTTAGTACACATCATCTGCAATTATCCGGATTATTACTTTTATACACATTTTCAAATTCATCCCATTCCAAGAACCTTTGAGATAGGTTTGTCTGCCAAAAATCATCGGCTGCGTCGGTCGAAACACTTTCAGAATTATTTAACATAGTATTACTACTGAATGAATGGAAAAATGAGTATAAAAATCTCAAAGGACAAACTACACAAAATCACCTACTACTGCCTATAGGTCAACAATTAATGAGTTCAAAACAGGTTTTCTTTAGCTAAAAAGCAGACATAAACGATACACAAATCCATATATCATTCGGCGTTTTTTGAGATAAACAGGTCTGCTAAAGGCGTTACATATTATGAATTGAATCTAGCCTACGGACACGCCACTGACATGAAGTACTTCAAGGGTGAAATGACCTCCTTGAAGTAAGCCACTCAACGTCGATGGAAAAAAGAGCAGCATTTCCAATTCCACGATAGCTTTTATTGCGTGCCATGTCATGTCGTAATGAACAGAAATTTTCATGAAGCTAGTAATTCACTTACAATGTACACCATATACTTTTAAGATTTCAAAACTTGTTTTCAAATGAAAAGAATACAATTTTCGGTCAATATCAAACAAAGGTAAGCATTTCTTAATTTTAGCAACTTTTTGATCACTATGTTTAGGCGTATTTTAAAATTTATTCCCTCATAACTTTTGTGATCCGATTTTCATACTATTGTCTATTTACTTAAGCCTTCCACTCCTCGTGAAAGAGCATAGGCTGCTTACCAGCATTCGCCATCGAACTCTATACTGATCAATCCTTTCCAGTTGCTATTCATGTCTATTTCTAATTCTTGACGCCATGTTTTCTTCGTCCTTCCTCTTTTCCGTTTCCCTTCAGGATTTTAAGTTAGGGCTTGACTCGTGATTCAGTTTGGTGGTTTCTGTAATTTATATCCTATCCACTTCTAATGTCTTAACTTAATTTCCTCTTCAGCTGGAAGTTGGGTTGTTGTCTCCGACAGTAGGCTGTTGCTGATGGTATTCGGCCAAAGGAAAGTGAGTATCTTGCGTAGACAATTGGTTATAAATACTTGTGCTTTTTTATTATGGTTGTGGTAGTTCTCTAAGTTTCCGCTTCGTACGGCAGAACTATCTTGACATACTTACTGAAGATTCTGAATTTGATATTGGTTGACAGTTGTTTTCAGTTTCATCTGTTTTCCTATTGTAGGAACGCCGTCCTTGCTTTGCCAATCCATGCCTATACGTCTACATCAGATCCTCCTCGTTCGTCGATAATTTTGCTCAGGTACGTGATATTCATACCATAGTTTTATTTAAAAAGTCAAAATTCTGAATTATTTCATTTACCCTCAGAAATATCAGGTTTCGTAGAAGAAACTTATTTTTATTCAAAAATGACACATTGTACAACACAGTCAATGTTATCACTTGTTTTATTTAATTCCGTTCATTTGTTTGTTATTGTAGTGAAATAAATTTTTCACATTTTAGCAGATTTACTTAATTACGGTTTAAAAGGCTTGAGAAGTGTAAAGAAGAATTATACAACTATAAAATCCCAATTGAGTTTTTCTGACTTATTATTTTAATATCCTGGGAAATCAAGCACTTAAAGTTCATATCTGGTCAGAAATATTCACTTTGTAAAACTTCAAACATTTGGAAATTATTTGAAGGGCTAATAAGTAGGGAACTGATTACTGACGACATTTAGATGGACATTTATAACTTGTATATGTCATTGTTATGTAGATAATCTGATGCTAGTTTTGGTATCTACCTACATTCTCAAAAACTTTTCGTGCATGTTTTGATGAAACTGATATCCCTATAAGTTTCATTTCACCTAATTCATCATAATGCTTAGTACCAAACGAAATATCGGACCTTGTAAATAAAAAAAACTGCTATGAAATCCATATTAAGTGTCATGTATCTCTTTAAAGGACTTACTGTTGATTTATCTTGGTATTCCCATACATGAACATTTATCAACCGACATATTATGTAAAGGTGTTATGTTATTTCGGCATTATTCAACATTTACTTTCATGATTTGTAAATTATTTTATTTGTTATCATTCACTGTTCCCCTTTCTCTTTTCCTAGGCATTCGATAATAGGTCTTACTGAATAAGACAGACGTTCTCATGTCGTCACTTTCAAACAGCTTTCTTCAATCATATTCATCTTAAGCGAATCAACAACATATCTTTAAAATTCTTGCAGTTGTTTTTCATGAATTACTTCATCATAAACTTTTAATGTCGAAATCCTCGGACATAATATGATGGTGTTCATAATGCACAGAATTCTATCAACCACAATTCTGTTTCAATAAATTACTTTAAGTTTTCCAACTAAGTGTCAACATCGACTCACATATTTCGTGTACGAACCTACTGCGAAATCGTAGAAATGCACCGTTCTTTATCAGATTATATCAATATATTCTTTTGAATCGGTTTGGCTCAACTATTTCCATGGGTTACTAGATTATTTGATTATCATTTCCAGGTAGTTTATCGCAAAAACTGTGTTTACATTGGTTTCGATACAGATAGAAGCAATGTGAAGCGAAATAAATTTAAGCAAAAGTAAATAATAACAGAGACTAGATATCTTTCAAAATCAAGGGAGTTGCTTGTTGTGAAACACTTTGGATTTCAACTTCGTTGAATGCTTACAGCATTTTTGAAACATCAGGTTCATTGCAAATAATTGTTTAACGGTGCTCATTTGACAGTAATTTCAATGAGTGAAATGTTAGGATCAATAAACTCTGTCAACCTACCTCACTTGATATGAGATTTTCTATGTTGCTATTTCTTCAATGTTGTTTCATTTCATATTGAGAATCGTGTTTTAATATACAATGCACACATTCACCTTGTCGAAAAATAATCATACTCAGTAAAATATCCACTCGATGAAAATCCACACCATGTTCACTTTTTCGCGACTCACATCAGAGAACTCAAATAACATTTCAAACTCTTAACAGGTAGTTTCAATATTGTGTATGACTTTCTTCATCCATTCACATTTCAAGTGGTTTTCAGAATCCGAAACTTAAATCCTAGATCTGGAGTCTTAACTGTGAGGATATTCGATAAAATCGGCTGCAATCTCTCAATCTATCGTGTGTACACGTCTATAGAGTAGAAATTTTTTGCAACACATCTCTCTGAAATCTTTATATACGCTTCCATAAGTTGAGAACTAGCATATTATATACAGTCTATGTCTGACGGATTACAACTACATATGTAGATACGATAATTTAATATTTCAGATGTTTAACTGATGAAATTAACAATGCCATCTGTTTTACTGGAGCATTCCAAACGAATTAAAAAGTTGTCATTTCTTGCATTTATATTGTTTTCATTATTGTAAGCTTGAATCAGCTTATTGAATAAATACACTTCATATTTTTTGTTCGTATACTTCCAGTTGTCTTGTTCGATGCTTCTCATTTAATTATGGTTATCCATTTATTCAATTAACTAATTAAGTTAACAGTATGAATATTTTGAAACAAATTTATTTTCCACAATAGTTACTCCGAATATGTGTACTGTAGAAATAATAAATTTATTCATAAGAATCTATTCAGTCGAAATATTCGCTTTGTAAATGTATTGGATGATTACAATTAATATTGACGGAGATGTGTGCATTAAACTATGAACAGCAATTAAACGAATTCTACGTTGACAAATGTTTAGGAAGGAAAAATTGGTAACAACATACCGAAATACCAAGTTAATTAAAACAATAAGAGACTGATCAATTGCAGTCCAAAACATCAATGAGAAGATTCAAGTAAACAATATCAAGTAAATTTAAAAACTTCACCCTATTGTGCACAAGCAAGTGGCTATCAGGACTCAATAGCTAAGTAGATAACGAGATGACGTTTGAAGCGAATGGTACTGGGATCGAGTCACAGAGTGAACATCAACTCTGAGATGCCGGTAAATTCAGCTGACAAGTCCCACATAGAACGAAACGCGCATCCTGGATTCCACTGCTAGCCACTATTCATTTTCGCTTAAAACATAATTGACGTTATAAATATTTACCAGTCTTTGTGTTCTTACTTTCACATCATGGGAATTACAAAGGTCCCTCGTTTCGAGTATAAATGATAAGCGTTTCCGACACAACAATTAGCGAAGATCAGATATACCAAGTACCGCTCAATCCACAAGACATATCAATATTTAATGCTTATTATTCACGACAAAAACCAAATATTTCTTTTTGTTAAACCTACATAATTTTTAGAAATGGTGAATAGTCATTTAACCAATATTTGAAGAATTATTTCAGAATTAAACTAATACAATGCTATTTATAATTTACTGAACCAAATGAAGCTAAGTATAGAATTAGAACATTTCACATTACAATTTATTAAGAAAACGTGACAACAACATAAAAAGAAACAAAAACACCAGGATCGTATCATTCACAATGATATTATATTCATAGAAATGTTGAGAAAAAGCAAAAAAAACCCAAGCATTACATTATCATTAAAAAAGCAATATATATGTATTTATATGCAGAGAGAGAGAGTGTGAGGTTATTGAGATAATAATTAGTGAGATTCCAATCTTATACTGAGTAAGTGATATTTATGATTTGAAAATTGTTCAATAAATGAGATCATTACATCAACAAAGAAATATATTTAGATAACAAGAAAAGAAGACGGATAGCAACTAAGAAGAAACCATTTTCGCCTTCTTTTCATAATATAGTCGTATCAACAAGTGGATAGTGAAGAACAATTAAATAAAAACTGGAAAACAAACAATGCGAAAAATGAGATTACCATAAACGACTTCTTCTTTTAAAAAAAAATTCAATGTCACTTAAGAAAAACACTAGTGATTTTGTTTGTTATCCGTTCATGATTCACCTATAGTGTGAGTATGAATGATTAAAGTATGAAACAAAAAACCGCCAAAATAAGTGTGACTATATATATGAATATAAACATATAAAAATCTACACAAGTGAAATATACCTAGAAATGAAATTGTGCATAAACTAAATGGTGATCACAAAGTCAAATCATTCATAGAAGATAAAGAATAAACAATGAAAAATCATATAAAAGTTAGTAATGAAATAAATTCAATAAGGAAATTTTTAAAAAAATGTATGTCTATGATCAATTTTATTTTAGTATTCGTTGTAACAATCCTTCATTGATGTGCATTAAAAGAATTGAGAAACCATAACAAATCAGTCATATGATAACAGTCAAAGTAACATCACTGATTGTAGTATAAATGATAACTCCATAAAATAAAATAAGACTATGTTTTATACTCTGAATTGATATGAGAAAAATACAATTGTATGCCTTTCACCTCGCATGAATACATATGAAACAAAAACAAAAGTGCAACCATATATAGTATTTGTTGTTTTTTTAACGAAGTCATAAAAAAAAACTACATTCATATTTTCCGCTGCTCATCAGATTTTTACATCATTAATTTAACATAGTTAGCTGGAAACAACCCATATTGTCCATCAGCATTTCGACCAAGCCACCAACCTTCATCAATTTGTTCAATGTCAAATATATGTTCTTCGGCACGAAATGATAATTCATCATCTTCATCTACACACAACAAATGATAAATGAATAAAAAGGAGGAGAATGTAACGATAAGTATCGGAACTAAATATAATTGTAAATTTATTCATTAGTTTATAACTAGTGTCCGTTTCATCTAAAGTCAATTTAATCGTTCTCATTTAAATAGATGGGTTTCATATTAAAATCTAATCAATATATGAATTACAATTTCATTATGTCTGAGAAAGAGTAATGTTATGTCCTATGACCCGTCAAATATCACGTGATAAAATCGCCAACCGGAATACCGACTTCTATGTCCCTTTGTTAAATCAATGACACGTTAACCGGCATTAGCAGCCTTGAGTTAACTCTCGATCCTTATTAGTCCTCTGTATGATGGCATATCGCCCAGCCCATTCATTCCAGAATACAAATATCATCCCCCGCCATATAAGCAGTATACTTGAGAAATACTTGGTTTATATACACACAGATTCCATAAAATGAAAAATTACAATTATATAAGATCAAGCCAAAAGTGTCTGTGAGTATAGGAGACTATAACTAAAAGATTGGGAATAAATTAACAATGGAAAATAGTATAACAATAGCCAATATATCAAATGAAAGCTTATGATAAAAGGAATATGAATGATCCAATAAGAATATATGTAAAAATAGTCCATAGTTAACATTCATTTATTCTTCATTTGCATATAACAACAAACCACATTAAAATGTTTAACAATACTAATTTTCCTTTAAAATATAATGTGAATTTATTCAAAAATATTAATTCCTATTCAACATTATCTAAGATGTTGAGCTGATGATGAAGATGATAATTGCATCTACAAATTGTTATATAAAGAGTTAATAAATCACTGATGTGCATACTGCTGAAAACTTAATAAATTACAACACAAAAACACAATCATCGTATCTTTTAATTTAATCATCATTATTTCAAACTAAAGTAGCGATTAAATACACTATTATAAACTCACTAGCATTATAATCATATAGACAGACAGCTTTAAGATTTGAATTATTTTTTGTTTTATTTTGTACTTCCGTGTTAGGTGATGAATTAATACATGGTGAAACTAGTTTATACATTGAATTCTGTGGTGAAACTGAGTTTTGATGATAAGTATTATTGTTATCATTGTTACCGTTTTTTAATTGTTGTTCAATGTTAGAATTAATTTGATTATTTGAAATATGTACTATTGGTGATAAAGAAAGAGGAGGTGATGTTGTTTGTTGTTGGGATTGTTGATAATGATGACCATTTTGATATAATAGATCTTGACTAGTTGAATTATTAATAACATCAGACTAGAAGAAAAATATCAAAGTAAACGTTTAGTTTCTATATGACAATAAACGATAAAAATGTATACATGTAAAACAATAAAAAAATAAACTCTTTTGAACTAGGACTTTAATTTGCTAAACAAATTTATTTTCTAAATAAGTCCAGAATTAACAGTAATACGTAGTCCTTTACTTTATACAATATACAAGGTTACAATCTATGAAATAATCATATGATTATGTAATATGTAACTGTCTAGTAGTTCACAGTCACCAGTATGTCCAGATAACCAGTTTTTTTATACCATGGTCACTAATATGTATGAAACTTCCATAGTTAATATGATGCATAAAGATTGTCATTTCTAAATAACTTAATTATGTGCTATTTACTTGGAACGCCTTATTTTTGAATTCATAATATGTCAGAGAATGATATGAAAAACGCTGGAAATAAAAACAGTATATTTCAAATTCAATAGCGAAATCATACTGATCACTATGTAATGGAAAACAGTGGGAGTAGGATGTTTCACACGGGTGATGATCACTATATCTAACAATGTTATTTCTTTATTTCTGAAGGAAAGATTTTAGGAAATCGATTGTAAGTCAAGTTGTGCAATATATTCTTGTTAAGAGAAAAATATCTGAGAAGATTTTAACTATTTTCCAATATCAATCAAGAATGATGCGAAAAATCTCCACAGAATCAAATGTACGAGGAACGAATCAAGCGAAGAAATTTCTTCTCAATTAGTTTCTCATCACGACTCTACACAATAATGAAATAATACTCATCGCGTAGATACGTTACGTAATGATTATATAATGACAATTCGATTATACATTAACATTGAGCACTTGGAAAAAAGAGGGTTACTCAATATTAATTTGTAGTCGACATCTCATTATATAATTATTACGTAACGCATATCTACTCGATGAGTATTATTTCATTATTGTAAATCATGTATACATTAGTGCAGAGCTATGATGAAAAACTAATTGAAATAAAGAAATTTTTTCGCTCGATTCGTTCCTTCTTTATTTAACAAATGTCAAAACGGGAATTTTTAAGAATCAAATGTACCAGTCAGTCAGTAACAACGTAGAACTTAGTACGTACGTACATCAGTTCGAGTTGCCATACCACATTAGCACAGAGATGCAGTGGTCGTTTCAAATCCCGTAGTGGTAGAGGTAGCAAGAGTATAAGCAGTAATCGGGAAGATTAGGGTTTGGAGATGTTATTTAACGCGTATAATCCAGTGAAATAAATTTGGAAAGAGGAAAAAAAGGGGACATGAAGAATTCAGAAGATTAGAATTTGGGAGAACATAGAAAGTGGATGCACCTGCGCCATTGCAAACGATTTTGAGCCATGTCATTCAGGGTCTCTAGTACCAGTATTCATTATAAATGTTGTATGTGGTGAAAATCTTGAATTACCTTCAACGAATTAGTAATATATCATGAGAATTCACACCTAAATGATATTTCTTAAAGGAATATTTTAATATATGGTATTGTGAAGTGAATCAAGCTTTTGATTAAACTTAATTGTTTAATTTAAAAGCATAACTACTGAGAACTGATTATTTTTCACAATTTAAACGTTTCTTGCTCTTTGGTTTTAATGATAAGATGTGTATTATTTGAATACTTTGGGAACAACTATTCAAGTGAAACTATAAAAATGATTGTTTGTATCGAATTGTGCAGATTGCTGATTTTCATTAAAATCATGAATCGGTCAATATTAGACCATTATTACAAACCTGGAAACACTAGAAGATAATCGCACAATATCGTTGATTGATTGGAATTAGAGATTAATGCTGTTGGATGCCAGATCAGTAGTTTAAAGGTTACGCGTTCGCACGCGAGACCGAAAGTCCTAGGTTAGATTCTCGCGTGCGTGATCGTGAATGAGCACTGGTGAGTGTCCCCATACTAGAACAAAACGGCCTTCCAATGCTTCCAGGTTTTCAATAGTGGTCTAACACTGATCGATTTATGATTTCAATGTAAAAGTGATGCTGAAGCTGGGTTTCTAATAGGCAGCCTACCCGAATGGAATTTTATTTGTGATTTTTGAAACTTATCTCATATATGTTGCCATGAGCAATAAGATGTGCATAAAATAATGCACAAAACAGCAAAGTAATACTATAACATAGTGTTATATTTGAAAATGATGTCCTGAAATGAGCCCACTGAACTTGAATGCATCCGGGTAATAAATCATCGAAAAAGTATAAAAACAAAACTGAATTGATTATTTTGCTGTAGCTATCATCTCAGATAGATTTTGGGAGTAAAATAATTATTAGACATAAATGTACGAATTCAAAACATTTTTGTCATATCAAATGAGATTCGTGGAACATTTAACTTTTAGAACTATCGTACGGTTAATCATGACTTATATATTCTTGTTTAATTATTGGACGCTTGGATTAGTTTATTTTTACATTCTCCTAATCTCTACTTTTCGGTTAACCAGTCTGACTGCCTGTTTGAATATCTGGGTTACCTGTTCCTGCCATCAAGATGTTTCAACAAGTTATCTGTTTTTGTTTGTTTTAGCACATCATCATGTCTATTCATCACATAACCTATGCAGGCGCGCTTATGGAAGTTTCACGACCCTTCATAATACAAGTAACAAAAATGTATAATCAGAGACATCGTGGTGGCTAGCAATATGGATTGAAAAGAATGAACATTATTATTGTAATGTCGACCCCTGAACTACTAACATCTAACTGGCGATCACTCAATATTTATCGTTAGGTCCGGTCGAGAAATAAGAAAGGGGAACTTGTTGAAATACTTTGTGCTCAGAATCCTATATTGTCCTAAAAAGTAAACATTGAATAAAGCCATTAATAATAATAATCTGCATATCGTTGATTCAAGTCCTATAATACCAGCATTATCACTAGTAAATTATTTCCCTGTTTGCTTTTAATATCACTTATGATTGAGTTGTTCATATATCGTTATTTTCTATTTGTTGCTATTCAGTCGGATATCTGAGGTATACTATTGTGTGAGTTTTAGTCATGATTAAATAAGGTACGACAAAGGATCGTTCTCCTTGTTATTTTCGTCTCCTGACTGAACACTGAACTCGACGACCAGTAGGCGTTGGTCGGAGCACAAGGATTTAAATGCAGTTTGAAATTCATGATTTTATAAAGATATAGACATTTATATATGTGATCAAATACTGACAACTGTTTAGTCTTAACAGACAATATACATAGATGAAGCGGTAAGAAACTATTCCAAACACACATTACTCAATAAGAAACATTACCTTTTTATTTGTTGATGATAAAGTATTTGAATTATTCGCGGCTTTGATAGAACGAATTTCCGACTGAACATCTGGTCGTTTATAATTGGCACCCTATGAAAAGATAATTAAATAAGAATAATATAACAAAAAAGTAGTTTCTATCTGCATAGACCAGTAGAACCGGTAATTAATACGATGTACTGAGTGAAAGCAGGCTAGTAGGGAAGACATACATATCTATGCAGAAATTTTCACAAGAACGTCAAACGAAACCCTAAATTTCATCACCGAGCAGCTGATGCGCTAGTCAAAATAGGCTAGGCAACTAATATACAAAAATATATTATAATACAATAGTATCTACTGTAATACAAAATACGCCTTTAATCTTTTTAGAAAAATCGGATAATACCACAAAAAATTTCAATGAAAAGCTTTGTTTACTACCTTTAACTCCCAGGAAATGATTAGAGTAGTGGTAAGGAGACTAATAAACCAGACTGTGTTGAGATATGTTGAACGCATCCATGCCTAACCTTGAAACCTTACATGTTACTATAACGAGCGATCTAATCAATCTCCATATGATTATGGAAACTAACATTTCAAACACTTTGTGGCTTGTACTGAAAGTTCTGCAATTAATGTAGGTTGATTTACATCCATTTTTATAAACTCAAATGATTAGGAATCAAGACAAATGTGAAAATTCTGCGTCCCGCAACCTAGTTAATATTTTAATTAAACTGAGTATTCCTAGTTGTTTTCCTTAGATACTCCTGAAATCATTCCCAGATAGCTTTTGTTTCAGACCTTAGGAGGGCCAAAAGTAGAGTTCTATGCACGTTAGGATCGGATTGTGGACAACTGGGGTGTGATTTTAATCGAGTTTAATTGTTTTGCAGTGTTGCAGATGATGTTTGAGGTTAATATTAACCAAACTCCTTTTCGTATCTCTTACATTCGTTGAAATAAGCCACAGACGTAAGTGTCTTCGCTTTTGATTTCACAAATCACTACCGGTGATTGGTGTTTGATTTTCACTCAGAGAGTTTTCTTTCTTCGTAAATACCGGAACCTGCTGAGATGAGTCTCTGGGTCTCAATCGAAGAATTATAGGTTACGCTAGTGCATATTTTACAGGTTGGATTATCACAAATCGGGGAAAACTAAAAGGTGTGGTATCTTGCAGTTGTAAGATAATGAAGGAGTCTGCTCGAGAACGAACTCGGGTGAAAACCGTACACGATTGCTGTTTCATAGAGGTAATTACTGAACTTTGGACTCAAATAAGTTCTTTCGCAATGAGAATGTACAGTGTTTCTATCACGTTTAAGTCAACTATTTGTAATTTAATTCATACTACATAAGTGCTACACTTTTCACAGTTAAGCAGTCAAAATGAATCATAACCATCTAAAAATCTATTTGAATCTAATGTAGATTTCAAGTTACCCGGCGTGAGATAATAAAAAAACTCACACAGATTATTAAAATACAACTGGTAATGTTGGTAATATTAGAAGTAACTTTTCATCAATGAGTTAATTGTCTTAGCAGTTACGTAAAATAAAATATTAAAGAATAATTAACAAAGTTCAGTGAAAATGTAGGACTTACAACAGGTTCACTGTTATTGAACACAGACTCTTGAGACTGTTTACATGCACGAGCTGCCAAAATTTCAGCTCTTGGGTCTTGCTTCTTATAACATGTGCCCTAAATCCCATAAGATAAAGATATATATATGCATCAATTCTTATTATAAAAATAACATTGTATTTGTGGCTAAGAAGAGTTAATTTAAATGAATCTAATATGGGTTTAAACATTTACAATTCGTACGAAAATGTAAGAGTTAAAATATCACAATAATCAATAATCCAAGATGTATGGAAAACTTGGTGAAATTTATTTTCGTACGTGAAAAAGATCTAACTAGTTGTCTTTTCTGATCGTTGAAAGCAAACGAAAAAGATAATATTGATCAAACAAACCCTAAAGACACATATTTAATTACTTTTGGTGTGATATTTGTAAACTGATCAGTGTTAAGAAATTAAACAACATCAATAATAAAGACGTAGAGTTTCTAAATCGATAGAAAAAGATGTGTTTTGTCAACCACGTGTAGGAAATCACCCAATATGTTGTCAATTATCTGCTTGAGTTATTAGGCAATATTCAAATGAGTAGACGTTAAATCTACTTAAATTCATTCAATTAAACACAATATCCGTTGGGTGTTAGGTTCTAAAAAGGGCAATGAAATGTGATATGAGAAAATAATGATGAAATATGACAAGTACCACTCTAGATTATTTGAAGATAATAGACCAAAATTTGAAGTTATAATTTAGCAATTACAATAATAAATATACAAACAATATCAAAAGTAGCACGAATATGAAATAGTCAAACATATCACAATTTATATCATAATGAGTGGAAGCAATGCTAGTAAAAGTAAAAGAGAAGTGAAAATAAAAAGTAAGTAGATCAAAAGGAAAAAAATATGTACGGAAAATAAAAAGTAAGGAGTCAAATTAAATTCAAGTCTAAAAGTATTTTACAGCATCAAATGTCTAACTATGAATATTACAATTATTACGAGAACTGAAAACCAAGAAAACAACACCCCATAACATGACACCAAACAACAGTTAACGAATATGTAAAGTGACCTAATGCATTTTGGAGAATATCCTCAAGTTTATTCCATTCTACCCCAATATTATTCACTAAAGATCCATCACGTGCAAAACATTTCCATCACCTGAGTCAACGGCAGTTTATAACTAACAAGTTTTTTGTAAAAAAAAAACTGGTTTTTAATCACACATAACTTTAAAGAGGAATGTCTCACATTAACTCGGTGCCCAAATACTGTGAAACTATTCGATCAAATTTAGACGAAAGTTCTTATTTATTAACGTAACTTTAGTAAGAATAAGTGAAATAAAAATGGCTCCATGAATCTATTAACTATACCTAAACATGACATTTTGGAGAACATTAGAAAGCTAGATTCTGTGAGACAGTAGAGACAGACGTCCAACAAATATATGCATATAATGAATCTCATAATTTTTTTAGTCTTATTTAGTCGCATATGATAGTCTAATGAAACTAATTCCAACCCTATGGATTTTCCTTTATTAATGAATGCAATACTAAGGATTGGAAAACAATAAGGTGTTGTTTATTTAATATCTGAATACTCGAAGGATGAACTGTGGTCATTCTCTATATTAGTGGATTAAGTCAAGTTTATGGCCTCAGCTAGTGATTACAAAATATGAAGTTAATGATAATAACTAGTAACAAAAAAGAGAATAAAACTGGCGAATCGATAGTTAAAGCAAAGAGGAAGTTTAGGTGGTGCTACGAATGGATTTGTTTGTGGTGAAATAGATAAAGAAACTGGATTGTTACGTAGTGACTTGAAAGTCTGGATGCAGATCATCAGAAATTTCCTTAAAGACCTTAAATGTTAGCAAACGGTTAGCCACCATAGTTCTATGAAGCATTCATCAGAAATAAATTCGATTACCATGTTAGCGTAAGGACTAAACTCTTTTTAAACTCGTAGCTACGGCAAAAACTTTATGAAGCATTTGTTAGCGTTCATTATTGCTTTAAAACTTATCAAATAATTACTTAAAGGGCCACACTTAGAATTGAATTTACCGCAGGCTGATCGATTTTAAGATAATTCAATGGAATCAAAAAGTGTGCACAATACTTGTTATTTAACAAGCCTAAATCACATTTTTAGTTTTGCCTTTTTATAGATTTCAAGTGGCTTATTATCGAGTCATTGAATATGAATAAAGAGGATTTAGGGGAAGAAATTACCCTTTTCGACGAAATCATTTTCTTAAGCTGTGGTAAATATACAACTATAGAAAATAGAAAAGATTAAATCATAAATGAACATAAGGTTTCCAATATCAAACAAAAGGTTAAGTAGTGATGGAGAGTCTAGAAAATAAGATGAAAATAATTTACGGGTCAGAAATATGGAGATGATTGTCTACGTGGCATATTTAAAGAAATGAAAAACGTAAAGGTTATAATAATAATAATAATAGGATATAAATCATAAAAAACTGGTAAAGAATAATAAATAAGTGATTACGGTTTAAAAAGTACAAGATATTGATCGAAACACAAACAGGACAAAACATACTAAAGAAAAGAGTCATAGCGTTAGAAGAGTAAAAGACTAGATAGACAAAATGGACAATTATCTTATATATTTCTCAACCCTTAAACTATCTTCATCTTCCTATTCATCTCTAAGCTCTCTACCATTGCGCAATCTTTCTTTGATATTTAAAACATTGGATCATGTTATGATAGAATTTCTTTACATTCTTCTATAGACTCACGTATTTAATAAACAACTAAAAATGCGAGGGTATAGCTTAAATAAATGATTTTGTAGAAAAGAAAATTTTCTTCACTGAATCCCTTGTTTTACATTTATCATTCCTACTACTGTTACGACCAATCTTTAATTTCTATTTTAGGACCATTCAAAAGCACTGGGGTTAGTGCCTCAGTGTTAGGATCAATTACTGATGACGTACCAAAAAGAATAAAACAGAAATATAAGTTCGTAGTAAATTAGAAATGCTAACGCTATACTCCGTCAACTGAAAAACGTCCCAAAATGATTTAGGAAAATAGTCACAATTCACTACCATGTAGTCATATGACATTATTTTGCAAGCATATCTATTTCATGGAACTCATCGTAACTTTTGATTTCAAAGTTGAAGTTGTTTAACATTGCTTTGTGAGTATTCGTTGTACTTCACTAAATACTTATTAACACTCTCGACGAACTGAAAATTTCATTTCGTCACACTAATAGGGTATGGCAACTTGAACCAAAATAAACATGTACCAGATTCTACATTGTGCATGAATGATTGACTATCCACAGTCTACGATCCTTAAATACATACAGAAACTGAAAATTGAACAAACCAAACATGACATATATCTGTATATCTAGTAGAAGCTCTAAGAAACATTAAAATATCAAAAATCACACACCAACCACCATAGAATGGTATAATTTCGAAAACCTTACTGATGTTGATTTTAAAATATTCATTCCTCAAACTATGTCAATGAATAGGTAGGCCTACTTGGAATATACCATTACATTATATCAAAGAAGGAGAAAACAGTAAACAATTTATATTCAAATATGTATAGCCCTCTGAATTAAAAACATATTGTCTCGCTTCGCAGAATAAATAGACGAGAACATTACACGTTAGCAAATATAAAATATTGGAAGCTCATTAATCAACAAGTTGACAGGATTCACATGTGATCAACTTGAACCGGATGACTGTATATTATAATGCGTAACAGAAAATAATGCAAGTGCAGGAAATATTATCCGAGAGAATAAAAAAAGAACCTTTATGTGAAATTTTGAATGTTCTAATATTCGAAGACAATAAAACACATATTTTCAATAATAATCATCAACAAAGGATAACGGTGATGCACGTCAACAGAATATTCAATGAAATATTTAAGATAGATAGTAAGTAAAATGAATATGGACAACTGTAAGCCTTTACACTCATCTAACGACATTTTCTATCTCTCTTTCAAACATACACACACATACAGTAACATAATTATCCATCAACAAAAATTAGGAGAGAAAAAGAAACGTGAGAATATTTATCACAGGAACAGGAAGTAAGTCACAATTGTAAAAATCTTTTCAGAGAATATATCAAAGGCAGTAGAGAGAAAACACAATAGTTTCAGATTTACAAGCGGAAATTGGCATACATAAGTACTAACAGGTTGGTGGCTCTAAACGGACAATGATCTATCCAGTTATCGATCGGTATCTAAAAAATTCGATCAATTGATTATCGAACTATAAACGAATTCGGAACTACGGACAAAGAAATCGAAAAGGCGACGCAAAAAGCTGATTGACATTTAGGTGATAAAAGGCAAATGGTGAAGATTCGCTTTATGCGAGATCATAATTATCCCACAATCACAAGTCCCAATAAAAAGAAAGTTTATATTAGGCAGGACAGGTTGTCCTGACTACTCAGTTAGCCGTCCTAGATATTACAAACACTCATTCAGTTAGCAGAAAAGTAGAACCTGATACATAACTGCATCGGTTTAAATTCCACACCCATTAGCACAGAGAAATTATATTCTCAGACCAAATCTCAGTATAGTACAAGTAGTTAAGATATCGACAGTAATAGAAAAGATTGGGAATTGAAGGCACAACTCCAAAACAAAATATAAATTTGTGCAATAAAAACAAAGAAAGTTGTGAGGAACCAACAACCCCAGGATTTGGGGGAAGACTAATGATGGATGCACCTGCACCAGTGAAAACGATTTTTAACCATGTAATTCAAAGTCTCTAACCACTGTTTACGATAATCGCACAGATCCCAACCAGATAGTCTGCACCTGATAACGTGGTTCAGTATGATTGTTAATAACTTCATGGACTGATGCAATGTTTCGGTTTGGCCACCCCTACAGTCCTTCTGATCTACTCTTACACCAGAGGACATCAACCGTAGGGGTAGGTGGTTGTTGGGCATATGTAACACATATACCAATCAACTCAAATGATTTACATTTACTACTTCATCAATCGATTTGTCATACTTTACTAGTTTCCTATTCCTGACCATGGCATCCCTCACTCGGTGGTCCCAAAATACACGAGCAATGTTTTGAAAACGCCTACGATCGAATTCCAGTGACCTACAAATGTCCTCTAATCTTAATAGCAATGTTTCATACCCACCGAGTTCGAGGGAGTGGAATGCTGAGCAGTAAACTCGTCCATTAGTTGGAAAATGGACATTCACCCTATATCAAAAGTGACGCTATTTGGCATTAGATGATCGAGCCTGTTGAATCGGTTTTGCGATCTCGTCACATATCAGACCATCACAACTGATAAGACTCTCTAGATAAGAAGTTTGGTCGAGGCATTCAACTACTCCTTTGCCAATCAATAATTCAGTGGTTGACACGAACCAATCCCGAATCAACATTTTGGATTTGCAGGGAGAGAGTCGCACCCCAAACATACTTGCATTGTTACTTCAGGTGGTCAGAAGACTCTGCACTTCGTCAGCATCTTCACCAAACAAAACTAGATCATCTAGGTATTCTAAGTCAACAAGCGTATCTCCTGGTAGAATATCAACCCCTGAAAAGTCAGGTGACGAAAGTGTCATCTCTAAACGCATGTGTATGACATGGTTAAATAAAAAAATGGGATCAGTGATTTTTGTGTTACTTGGACGGAGTGTATCAAGTGAGAGAAAATAAATTACCTGATGAGTTTTTTTCCTAGCTAGTATTGACTTTGACGGTTGTTGTGTTCGAATTTAATCTACTTTGACGAGTCAAGTATATCGAAACCGTGCATCTGTCAGGTAGAGATTAATCGTAACTTAGCCACAGTAGGACATCTTTGGGAGTGTTTCTTCTACCATATAACTTATTTGAGGTTCGGAGACAGAATCGCACACTGAACATGCTTGCGTTTTTGCTTAAGATGGTCAGCGACTACAGCGATTAGACACATTCAGAGGTATAACAATTATAAAACAGCCAATAGCTCTACATTTATTCCAACTTTTCCAAATATTGATTAATATCCAGAATTTGGAAGATCTTATAGCTACAATCCGAAATTACCTGATCTCATGTACTAGAACAGTGATAAGTATCTTCTTGAACCAATGATAATTAATTATTTTAAACAGAAATCTCATTTAGCTAATCATGAAAACACAAACTAAGATTTATGGCATCTCAATAAGTTTTTTTTTTCAATTACATTAATTAATGGTTTAATTTATGTATGGATTTAACATGAAATACAATTTGAACGTGATAATTTTACAGAATCTTCACCAATTCATTTCATTATATTTAAACAGATGATCATGAAATTATATTTTCATGTCAATAATTGGAAAAGAAAAAGAAACATACAATCCCCTGCTAAACAAACAATAGAGTGGGTGGGTTAAATAATAAGAACCTGTACTTAAATTTTTTATTTTTAAAAAAATCACATACGTGATGGAAAGGAATGAACCATATTGATATAGGAACATTTCAATCTTGATAACGTAGGCAAGCAAAACACAATTACATTTTACCATAAAATGTTATCGTAGTAAAAAAAACACTGATTACGGCAGGGAGCAAAGTTATCAGAATTCACAATAACAAATCAGAGCAATTAACTAAGAGCAATCAGAAAATCACATCAATAGTAGTGTATAATTGAAATGTAAATGTAAAAGACAGTGAGACGAGCAATAAGTAAGTATAGGTAATATTTCTTAACTCATTTATCAACTACACTGTTTTGTACATATTTTTATGAAAGCTAACGTTAAAACCCATAATGTCAAAACTTAAGTGAATAAAACGTAGTTCGAATCCCTGGTCGATTAAGAGAAATTCAAGTGCATTAAATATTAGGTCACCTCTCCACCATATTGAATTAATAAATAGATATTCTATTAAATTAAACTAAGAGACGAATACATCTCATGCACAATAAAACATACATGATTCTTTAAATATAGATCGACCGAAACAATATAATTTTCCCACATCAGTCAGTTATCATCAATGTTAAACTTCATGTAGACGTAAATTGGCCCTAATTGTCATACTATATTAGCACAAAAGATAAGCATAAAAAATGGGATAATTCAATGGCAGCGACAATGAAAAAAACTGAATGCTTAGAATATAGTTCGAAAAGATAAAGTGGAAAAGTATGTATGGAAGAATACTGGAATCCGAAACCAGGGGAAAGCTACGAAGTGAATGCATCAGCATCACTAAGAACGATTATATTCTCTGTTATGTGAACTCTCGAATCACTGGTCGTAGTTATCTAGTGAATTGAGACCAAGTAATCTGAATCTACCAAGATGGCTTGAACCAACCGTCAATGACTTCATTGGTTAATAAACGTTTTTGGTCTGGCTGACTTTATATTTCTTTCCATCTGCTCCTAATACAATAAACAACACCACACGTCGAGGTATATGGTGCTTGAACATACGTGATACATGTCTCAATTACTTCAATCGATTTATATTTTACAATCTTCTCAACTGATTGGTCATATTTGCTTAAGACTTTGTGCTTAACCACAACAACCCTCACTTGTTCATTCTAAGAAAAATGATCAAAAACCTGCAGTCGATGAATGTCGACCATTTTCAAAAATCATATGAATATGTATCCATTTGTATGAATTGCCCAACAACAAAATATACCAATTTATTGATTTTCATATCAAATATCTTTGGATATATTCAATTGAAAAAATATTATTTATAATAACTAAATCAACTTGTTACAAAACAAATAGAATCAACAATCTCAAAATATTTGATAAGACATAATTGAACAGAAAAACAGACCAAAAAAACAAAAAAAACACAAAAAGTAAATGATAAAACTATGGAATAACAAAAAAAATAATAAATAAATGAATAAATACAAAAACTTTTATTACCACATGATTTATATCATCCTCATTCTCATCTTCATCATTATTTACAGATAATGACAATTGTCTTGCAAGCATAATTTCTGCACGTGGATCAACTTTTCGATAATTTGAAGTCTAAAGTATAATAATAATAATAATAATAATAATAATAATAATAAAATTTAATTAAAGTCATATGTTGTAAAATATAAAAATGGTTTAATCATGTTTGAAAAATTTTCTTCCTGAATACAACTGAATCTTTTATTTACTGAATTGTTAGATTGATACTTCTTTTTTAAATGGATAGTTTTTTTTATTGTTGGTTACTTCAGTAACTCTAGAATTGATATAATAACAGAGCAAGAATTAAACCTGACATGTAAAAAGTAATTCTAGTGAAGTATGAATGATTAATAGTTTCTACATTGTATACGCGATTTTTTGTTAAATAAATCTAAACACGCTTATTTTAGTGTTCAGTATTTTGTAGATAAAGTATTATTTTGTTACGGAAAAACACCCCTTGCCGTATCGTAGGACACGAGGTGACCTTATACTGGCATTTCGTATCTTTAATTATGATTTGGGTGTTAATATGTCTTATCTTTTTGCTCCCTCCAGCACTAATAATCTCCGCGGTCATAGCAAGAAAGTTCATAAACCAAGATCTAATAAACTTAAGGTGGAGTCCCGTTTTTTTCATCGAGTAGTCAATGATTGGAACGCCTTACCCGAACAAGTGGTATCAGCCCCATCAGTGAATACTTTCAAGGAGAAGCTGGACCTTCACTGGAAAGCAGTGTGTCAGGATTAATACAGGTTCATCAACCTACTATCCTTATTACTGAAGACTGAATCTTTCTAAACGGCTGATTTGTCCTTTGACATGATTTCGATTGAAGGTTAACTTCAATATTTTGATCTTGTGAACAATTACTACTCAGTCACATTAAATCTTACTAACCGGTTGACATATTGTTTCCGTTAGCATAACAAAAATAATCCTCAAACGTTTTTTTCCATCATAAAACATTAAAGGCTAACTCATAACAATACTCAAAAACCTTCATACTATCTGTCTAGTAAAGTTGGTCAACCTTTCGCAGTAACTCTGTAGACCAAGCAAAGTCAAATATATGGATCAGCCTTTGTTGAAATATGCATTTTAAATATGGTAGAAATTTGTACTTAAAAAAATTAAAGGTTGTAACTCAAAAACGAGAGAGAATTTAATGTGTATCATTTTAAACATACTATTTTACTAAGCTTAATATCACAATATATACCTATAGTCAGTTTCCCGAACTACTCGAAAATTAAGTATGTTGAAAATATACTAAAAATAGTCGACCACTTCTTTATAAAAAGCAAACACTTTAAACAAGACAATATTATACTGTACAACAAATTTGATTCACTCAATTGCCTTTTTTACTTTTTCCACTGTAAAGGAAAGAATTTTTGTTTATTTTACACCCCCCCCCCTAATATTTGGTTTTGCATACAGATTTCTTAGTTGTGTTTAGGTTGTTATCCATTTGGTGAAGTAACATCGATAATTCAACCTTACTTGGAACTTATCACTTCCGTCATGTTTTCCGTAACAAGCTTTCATACTACTTATTGATTGATTAAGTAGCCTAACTTTATGGCAGAAATTATTCATAGGTAGGAAGCAGTTCAGCACCACGCAGGCAATCACAAACAAGCTGGAATTAAGCAGACATAAGCAGAAGCATACATTATACTTTATCAATAGTAACATTGACTAAATTGCTTCAAACGAAAGAATTAAGAGGCAAGATATTTAATGGGTGCATTTTTAATCACGAAAAATATCAGTCTTAACAGTGATGCATATCTTTAAGCATGTGTTCTATAAATAGCTGAAGGTGCCATCTACAACATCGGTAGAACCAAATGCTAGGAAGAAAAATATTCTTAAGTTATCAATCCATCTTATTCGTAAACAAGCTGCAGATGATCTAAGATCAGTTGAGTTACACTCAAGATATCATAGGAATTTTTCAACACCGAATACGTACATGCTCTTATAAGAGGTAATCAGATATATGGTCATGGATTGAGGAAACTCTAGATCACAACATATACGGTAGATCCCTACTCAGCACCGTCAAACGCACAAAGGCCATACAGAAACTAGCTGACTGAAATTTATTACACACAAATTATATCTAAGGGCCTTAATGAAGTTTTACAGAAGTGGAGTTTTAACATGTCCGTTTCCTTCATAAAGTATAGTTGCCTAGAAGTCCTTAACGGCAAAAGGGATTGTACCTAAGGAAACTGTCAAAATATCTGTTTGTTTTGTTTTCTCGAATGCTGTGGTCCTGTAAATCTTTACTGAGGATATTCCATTTCCTGAAGAGCCAACCGGCATTACAAACTAGTTTGATAGGATAAACTAACAAACTTCATCAGCCTCATCACAACATTTGCCATTCAGGAAATAAATATGTAACCACTGGAACCATAAAAAATATAATACTTATTCTGCATAATCTAATTCGGAATTTTCATCGACAAAAATTACTAAGTAAAAGGTATACAATTTTAACAGAAATGAAAGAACACAAAACTATATTACGGTGAGGGTCAGCGAACAGTCATACTTATTCATATGTATATTTAACGTTCATGGAAAATATTGCTAACATGAGACAGCTTGCTCAGATAGCTGGCGACCACAAATTTTTGGATCATTCATTCTATATCGTATTATCTTACTTCATTATTTTGATTTGCTAAGCATTACTAATTATACACTCGTCGATCATTTTTATTTGACGAATCATATAAAACAAAGTTTGTCACTGACAGTGATGAATTCCGAATAAACAGCATAAATATAAGATACAACGGTGAAAGTTTTAGGTCGATTATCAGATAAAACCTATAGAGTAGCTACCTTAGTGAAAATATTAGTATGTAAACTGATAGACTAATTTCTGTTCTGCTCAATAATATCTATTAAAAAAAAGAAGTTTATTGGAGATTGTGAAAACAGTAACAGAACAGTTATAAACCATGATCCACTAAACTATTTTATTATCGCTTAAGACTTCACGCAGATCATAACTTACAAACCAAGATCAAATAGAACTCAGAACCTTCAAGTTTTCTGCCAACTATAGGTCTGTTAAGATAATGAGTCGAAATTTAACGGTCTTAATATTTAACTAAAATAAATTTGCGATATACTATGACCTATATACATTGCTATCGACGAGTCTCTGTCTTGAACACAATTACGTTGATTGTATACGTAATAACTATCCACAATATTTTGATGACTTTTCAGTTGTCAGTTCATAAAAAAAAACTTACTCTTAAATATCTATTCAGTTAACATTTTAAAATGTTCAGTAATTCCAGTAGCATATCGACACATCATTAATCAACATGATGTCTCATTAGTTGACATTTTTAGACAATCTGTTGGTTTTCATACGGCGCAAGGAGTATGGTAAATACCGTAAATCCCATCTACATGGAAAGCGCTATGATTGATAGGTAAGAATGAGATAGTAGCAGATTGAACCATTTGCTTCTAGGTTCGATTTCCAAATTACCTTAACCGGAAACTTGTGAAATCTATTATTTTCCTTAATAAATGTAAGCGCATTGTTTACGCTTCCTAGGTTGTCTGAACACTTTTTTTTCCAATTTTCCTCAATCTCACTCCTACTCTATATCTTGTCCTAATACATACACAACACATTCAAGCTAAATGCAAATCATTCTACAGTATATATACACTCCTAACTACCAAAATTATCAAATTTAATTATCATATGATTAGACGAAAAACTTCAAAAAAAAATAACCTAGTGATTAAACATTCATTATGTGCATAATATTCAGGAGTGGATTATAATTAGTAACGGAAGAAATGTAACATATAATGAATCATACACATAAACACAGATACAACTATGATAAATATTTTATGAAACAAACATTTAATAATAGAAAGATAGATATTTACAAACTACATCGTCTATAAATCATCATAGTCAAGACGAAAGAAAGAAAGAAAAAAAACCTGTAGTTGAAATACAAAAACTAAATTTTATTGTTAACAAAAAATTATTATCGATTTGCTGAGTAATCTGATATTTTTACAACTACATAAAATGCGGTACGCCTAGTTTTTGATATATCTGAAAAAGCATGATATATATATATATATATATATATATATATTTCAGATTATAAAGCCAATTATTAAATTCGTGAAAACATTTTGAAATGAGACAATGATGATCAAATGGTTATTGTTTGGTTAGGCGATTGATTTGTAGAGATTAATTCAATTCTAATAATTATTCAGTGATGGAAAATACTGACGATGCTATGTGTATTATCAGTTCATTTTTAGTGCAGATTAAATGATATCGAACAATTTGCGATATGGCCACTAGTCTAGATGATTTGACATCACATACACTACGTTGGAATATAAGATGATGGTTTAAGGTTGTCGACCTACGTTTTGTGCTACTTGGCACTAGTAAGCAAGGTGTACTTGTAACATTGAAGGAAATTATGCTCCCTGAAGGATTCGATGTCATATCACCCAGCTTCATGAATCGGTTGTTGTTATACATAGAATTGAAAATGAATTTTTGAAAAACTATTTGTGACACCTAAAGTTTAGTTACCTATTTTTGTACAATTTCGAGTTGAGCATTTTTACGTTATAATTACCAATATTATGTGTCCTTTATTCTTACCAAGGTTAGAGAAGTTTTTCTGTAATTGGTTGATTGATGTTTTATTATGCTGATTTTTCCCTTAACTTTGAAGACATTCCAAAAACTATTTGAGCTTAATAAATATCTGATTGTATTTTCTTTTTCGAATGATGCAAGTACATTTTTAGTCGGAATTTTACTTTATTTCTGAGTGGAGAAGTGATATTAATTTTTGTTATCTGAGGTAATCGATGTCCCAAGTATAGAACCAGTAGTACCATATCACATGGATGCAAAAATGATGCGAGATCTAGGTTTGAAATTAACAGTTACGATTGCGTACCACCCAATTAGAAAAAATAACTGACGACAACTTAAAATTATTTACTCATGCATTTATACCTAAATAACGACACTGCAACTATAAATCAGGAAACAAGGTCGACCAACTTATAAATGATAATCCCAGAATAGTTCATAAAAGGGCAACTATGATTGATATCAGTTGATTACACCACACAAAAAACTTTAAACAATGGAATATAGAAAAGCGGAATAAGATAATCAATAAATGTATGGTTTACAATAATGAAATAATACTTATCGAGTAGTTACGTTACGTATTAATTACATAATAACACATTGATTATAAAATAATATTGAGTAATTAGAAGAAAGAGGATTATAATAATCAAAGTAATTATTCGAAAAATCAAACAGTTGCTACGTTGCATAACATATAAAAAGAAAAAACTAACTAAATATTTTAACGAAAGGTCAAAATGATAGTTGTTATGTAGGAATCAAGGGACCAATGATGAGAATATGTAAAATACAATTGATAGGGATGAAAAAATAGTTTCAAATATTTTTGAAGGAAAGGGTGTCATCAAAGTACAGTTACAAACTCGCTCTTAGATCGATGAAAGTTGTTCTACAAACTTCAGCAATATGCAAAAGACGAACCCGTAAACCATTATCTAAGCTTGATGGAATATAGTGGACAATCTTAAATGCTTCATTCAAGTCAACTTGATGACCTGTGTCCACCAAGTGCACGAGAATAGAACTGTTAATCACTCTTACCTGTCCTTTTGCTCAACCAAGACGGATGGTGTTCTGATATGCGATGACAGACTAGCCGAATTGTACATCTCATATAACTGACTCCACAGAAACAGTGGAATTGGTGAATACGAGTGGATATGGCGAATTCAGGTAGACTGTCTTTATTAACGATTCTTATTATGGGATGGTTGTAGAAAACGGCATTCAGTGAGGCTGTAGTAAATGTTGACTGTACTGCTTTGATTAAGCTTTAAGTCAAAATTTTCTCGGTAGCATCTTTTAAAAACCGTAATTTTAAGAACAGTACTTTCTTGTGGACGGTAAATCTATATGTTCTTCTTCTCCTCTCTCTCTCGTCATCCTGGTTATCGGTATAAGAATGAATTTATAACTGTACTTTGATGAAACCCTTTCCTTCAAAAATATTTGAAACTATTTTTTCATTCCTATCAATTGTATTTTACATATTCTCATCATTAATCTCTTGATTACTACATAACAACTATAATTTTGACAATTAAAATAACCCATTGTGCCATTGAATAAGAAAAAGAGAATTCAGCGAAGAAACTTTTTTCGACGAAATCATATACTTAAGCTGTACATTCGTATATAGAAAGATAGAAAGGATTATATCACAAAATTTTGTGATACAATCATTTCTATCCTTCTATAGACATACATTTTCCATATAACTATATATACGAATGTATATGATTTCGTCGAAAAGAAAATTTCTTCGCTGAATTCTCTTTTTCTTATAATTTTGACTTTTCATTAAAATATTTAGTTAGTTTTTTTCTTTTTATATGTTATGCAACGTAGCAACTGTTTGATTTTTCGAATAATTACTTTGATTATTATAATCCTCTTTCTTCTAATTACTTAATATTATTTTATAATCAATGTGTTATTATGTAATTAATAACGTAACGTAACTACTCGAAAAGTATTATTTCATTATTGTAAACCATACATTTATTGATTATTGTAGAGCCATGATAAAAAAATAAGTGGGAAATCTCTTCGCTCGATCCGTTCTTTTTTCTGCTAAATATCAAAATGAAAATGACCAGTTCAATATTCTAGAAAATCTTCCACTAAGCGCTTCAATTGCAGCAAAACATTTTATACAACAAATTAGTATATCATTACTAAGTGTGATGAGTGTTAATGCTTAAGATAGATTAGTTGGAAGAAAGACTTTTTAATAGAATACAAATACGTAGTTATCTTTAAGCCGCCTACACAAATATTCTATTAAATAACATATATATATATTAGTTGTGCTACATCCGATTCACTAAAATATCATATGGAAATTACAGCAAATTATGAATTACAACAACTACTACACACATATACGGAATATTTAAACAACACTAACCGTTTCACTTGACGGCAGCTTAGATTCTAAAGCTTTTATACGATTTTTAATAGTATTAGTCACTTCATTTTGTGCTACTTGCTTCACGATATTCTGTGATTGATTTTCAGACTGTACATTATTGTTAATTATTTCTGGTTCACAAATAGGTCGAACAAAACCAACGGGTTTCTAAAATTTCCAGTAAACGAAAAAAAAGAAATGTATTCTTTTGGAGAGGAAACTAACATAATAGAAATGTACATAAAAAGTGATGACGAATAGTCTATTGTTACAATGATGTAATTTATCAAAACAAAAATTTCAGAATAATGAATAACAACAAATGGGAAAAATGTGTATGTCTACAAGATGATTAACATTATGAACCAGCTTAAACCTAAACAAAAATTCATAACACTAACTGATAAAAACTAACCAGATGAATTGTACTTCTATCAATACTAGCCAATTAAGAATTTGTGAATAAAAATGATTAATTCGGTAATACTAATATCATTTAAAACATTGATAGGTTGTTCTTGTATAAATATGGTCCAGAAATAGGAGATTCATCAAAACATTTATTCACAAACGATGAACATATTTTTTCAGAATATGGTATTTTCAAATATAAAAAAGTGCAAACGAATTATCCGATAGCTTCGTATCAAATGAGGATTTAAAATTTTCGGTTTTGGCAAATAAAGTTAATGATATCAGCAAAACAACTGATATACAATAAGTAATAAGTCTTTACAGGATATATCTTACAGTAACTACTAGAATTATTAAACAATTGTGTACTATCTTGAATATTATCAGTTGAACAGACAAAAAAATTTTAAGTCTATGATTGATAACAGTACACAATTTTTAAAGTTCAACTACATCAAATAACTTTCTTCTAAAAGGTAAACATACATTCAAATTTAAGTCTTGTACATTGACAGTTCAAATAGTGGATAAACAAATGATTCCTATAGAAATAGACTCAATTTATCAAGAAAAGAAAATAATAATTGGATATCCTTGGATTATTGTAACAGATTTTCGGAAAAGTTCAGTAAATCATTAAATAAACAATAACATCATAATTTTTACTGAATTTATTATCCATTAACATGATAAATAATAAGACTTCACATAGAAACCAGAAAAAAAAGAAAAAAAACACAACTTATGAATTTAATAGTTTATAAATTAGAAAAAAGAAAGAATTGAATATCGTCTATTCTCGTCACTGGTTTATTTTATAAATAATTGAATGTATTCACATCATTTTGATATAACACAACCACCTTTCATATTCAATTAAGCTTTAATAAAAATATATAACACGAACTAAACATATCTAACTAATTTGTATTAAATTAATAATAATAAATTATAGATCGGTAGTTAATATTATGTTATTATGATTCTTATAATAATAATAATAATAATACTGTTATAGACAAATAATTAGTTGAAACGTCATTTCAGCAATAAGAAATGTGATCAAAACAGATATAGATACTAACTTAGTTTATTATATCTGTAAATACAATATCAGCATATTAGCGCAAGTATATATGCACACACACACACACATACACGTACACTGATAGATAGAATTCAACATGAATATAAAGATTTGACTACTAAATGAAGAAAGTCATTATATAAGAAAGGTGATCTATAGATCACGTTGATGAATTCATTTAAAGATTCGATAAAGTCATTTTATCTCATTTGCACATCAATTTCATTGTATTACATAATAAGACAATTATATAAATACATTGTAAAGATTGATATGATATAGTAGATATTGATAAAATTATTTGTTTATAATATCATATTGCTAATAATGAGATCACTAAGAGAAATTTTACATTTATCTGGTTATCATAATATTAGAGGAGATAGTTTCCTTTTTTTCTCTCATAAAACTAAACAGGAATTGAATAAAAATATTTGACACAAAACAAATTCAACAGTAGTTAATAATTTAACGTAATGCTCTATTATGACATCTTAGTTGAGTAATACAAACTGAAACATTCCTTTCTTGAGGTTATTTAATTAGTTAATTTACTTAAAATCTGATACAACCGAATGACAAAAATAGAATGTGCTAAGAAAATTAAAATTTGTGTTTGAACTGGAATACTGCAAAGCATTCAAATCGAAGCACGTAGTTTTCCTAGTGAGCTGATCCCTTCGACTTAATCATCTAACTCACGAAGGAACGGAGCAGATGGCCGAAAGTAGGTTCATACGTCATACATCCCTTCAAGGTGCTAGACCAAATATCCACCACTGGCTCAGAGTTTTTTAAACCGGTTTAAACACCGGTCATTCGTTTTTCAATTTCTTATTTTCGTAGAATAACAACTCCGACGAATGAAAATAGTGAGTAGGGTTTTCCCAGAAGTGGCTGTGGGCGCACGAGAACATTTCAAAAGGGAAACCGCTATAAGTCAAGTAGGATAATTGTTAATGTTTCATACATATTACTAGTCTTTAATAAACATGAATACCAATAAAATACCTTCAAATATACAAGAAAAGATTGGAATCACTCGACTGAATATGACGAAGACAACGTCTCTTGAGTAGTAGTTTTAATTTTTTAAGAGATCAACTTAAGATAACACTCGTGTAGACATGGTTGTAATTGTTCCATGACAAAATGAACAGATTATGACATATCAAAACACTTAATGAATAACCTTTACTTATTTTCAAGAATTATACTCTATTTTTTAATAATCATAATTTTATGAGTTCAACACATGTATCTCCTGAAGGTATTTTAGGTTCTTCCTTTGGAGTTCAATCTGATTCAATACATATTCCCTCACTACATTACTTATCACTTTTAATAAGTTGATAACCTAATTGCTAAAAAGCTGGATAGTTAGTAACACAAAAATCAGGACTCAATTGAAAAACTGAAAGTCAGTGTGTAATGCAATTTTAATACTAAAAAGATGACTGCCTGATGAATCCTTGACCCTAGTTTGAAGTTATACTTGCTGTTTTTGATAATCAACACAGCCAGAAGATTTATTTATTTATTATTTATTTTAACACATAGATATTGGTACAAGGAGGCACCAAATACATATGCGCCACACATATCTCATTTTATATGTGTGAGGGCTGTGATACTGCCCGGGTGTCCAAACCGAGGCAGGTGGTTTTCTTAAGGGGCCACACCCCGAGCCGTCGACCTGAAGGTTTGATCCACAAGGCAGTGGAGCATCGTAAGGAGATACAGTTCCATGGTAGCCGGTGACCAACGATTGGTTCATACGCCATTTTTTCCTTCAGGATACTGGAGCCCATGTGCACCATTGGTTTGGAATCAGGGTTTTCTAACTCCCCTAGGTGGACTCTCCGTATCCAACAATCCCGTTAAAGCGCCGAATGTTCGCTTTTCGTCCTCTCAATTTCGTAAACAACACCCGTGGTGCGAGAAGTCAATGAGTAGGACTTCCCTGGCAGGGGCTATATACGCGTGGCCATGTGAGAGCATTTCGAGAGTAAGAGCGGACTCTCCCCACTCTCGATCGTACCAGGGTATTCGGGGCCCAGCCAGAAAATAACGTCTTCCAACTCCACACCACCTAACGAGCTCTCTGAAATAAATTACCCCCCCCCTTATAAATACCGTGTCTTAGTCTTTGTTATACGATTTTATACATAGTTATCAAGTTACGTTCCAATTTGGCGCCTTGAAATCGATGAGATTGTTTCCGCAAACATTTCATGAACACAACAAAGGATATTAAGTCAAGCAATCCAGAATCCAGTGCACTTGACTTAATGTAAAGTACAGTTTACAAGCATCTACTGACTTATATGTGGTACAGAAGATTTCACTTAATTGTGTAAATAAAACACTTCTGTTTGTGAATACGGAACACATAATTATTTCAAATTCTGAGATGATAGGACCTAATAGATATCATTTGGTAAATATATAATCACTACACAGAATTCTGGACGTAATTCTAATACACGTAGAGAAATGGTTTATTAGTTTAAATTATCAACTACGTAACACAGTCAATCAGTTAGGTCCATGATTCTCAATTATCCCTTGATTTAACATACTAAAATAATCTTCTACACTTTTAAAGCTAAAACATAACGCAGAATTGATCGGTAAACATAAACGTACTGTTCTGGACAAGTAGAATAACTCAACATTATAAAAAGTGAATATTTACAATAATAATAAACTTTAAGCTACTGGTACCTCGATAGAAGGTCTTAATTTTGATGAATCTTGTTGCTTTTCCTGTTGTGATTGCCAAATACTTCGTGATACACAACCTTTTGGAATATCTTTATTTGGATTTGCACGTACATAAACAGAACCCTGTAAATAATTAATTAATAAAATGTTTAATATTACAATAATACCAGAAGTATATTTTTCTTTCCTAATACAGATTATGTTAATATTATCAGTAATAATTAGAAAGAAATAATACGTACTACCTTCACGCTAGAAGGAGATATAAAAGAACTGAGATTTTTTTAGCATGTACTTTTCTTAAGATGAAAATATTACCAGAGGATTGACAACAAAAACGAATAGAATACAAGCAAATACGCACACATCCATATATGTATGAATGTCTGATATCTGTCTATTTCTATTTGTATATCTCTACCTTTTATAAGTGAACACAAATGAATGTGCTAGAATGAATTCAAAAATAGAAAACTAAATCAATTAAGATATAAAGCTTAATTAGGACAAATCGTTAGTGAGTAGTATAATAATAATAGTAATAACAAGAATACTACTAATAAAGATGGTGAAAAAATCCAGCTTTTATTAGTCCTACAAGAATATTTAAACAAAATAAGAAAATCAAGTTGTAGGCCGTAAATAACTAGGAACTATTCTAGACACTTTGACCTTAGCTGTTTAATGAAAAAAAAAGAAGAAGAATTTCGTCTAAAAACCAATAGTCATTCTCTAACTAACATCTGATGAGATTTTCACTGTCTTATTTGGTAATTCACAGCATCCAAAATGCAATATATTCTTACAGAGAATTTTGGAAAATATTGTGTATTGAAATGTTTAGATATTTTAGTGGTTTGCTAAATACCATGAAAGCTTTTCTAACAACACTAGGGAGGTTATTGAGATTTTTAAACTAGAATTTAAAAGACATACAACAAACTTGTAAAAACACATCAGCTAAATGGAAAAGATGCTTCTAGTTATGGGGAAAATATTCCTTAAAATTTAAATGATACCCTATCATCATGTCTTTGAGTGGTAATTTTTTTCTGTGCTATCAGTAATAGATTACACAGACAAAGAAAATAAGTTCAGATAAGAAATATCAGCTAAAATAAATGAAACTCTTTTCGTATGCACCATAATGCAAAACATAAAAAGAAAACTTAAAAACAAAAAAGTTCAGTTTATCATTAAGTCTGACACAATTGAAAATCATATGAAGTTTGTGGCAGTGAAATTGTATTAAAAAAAACACGTGAAAGCCCTAATTTTAAAATCAATTTACGTCAAAACATTAAATAGTGGTATAAAACTAACTGTAGGTACAAACTCATCATCCGTATTATTAGAATTGGTCGGTTGAGTATGAGAAACACTTCCTGTTAAATTTTGAACTTTAGTAACGATTTCGTTCCAATCCAAATTTGCTTCACTTCTTGCGTTGATCGTAACATGAACTGTCTATAATTTTAAAAAGAGAACTTATGAAGTAGTGAACATTTCATATGATCTAATAGCTTGATGACAATGTTTAAGAAGAAATAATATAACATAGTGTTAGGAAACTCCGTTGTATACCAAAAAACATTTTCCGCCATCATAAAAATTTCAAAACTAAACTAAATAGTTTTGTAACTTTAGGAAGCAAAAATATTTGTTTTCTAGTGCAGGGATTAAGAATTAATTCATCAAGTGTGAAATCTAAAGTGACATTTTTTCTTAGCTTATTAGTCTAGACATTTTACAAACAGCTGTAAGACAATGGGGTTTCAATTTTGTCACATTTACTACCGTGTTGAAGTGATAAAAGTTTAGAAAATAACATATAAACATTTGGATAATTTCCTACGTGTATTAGAATTCTTACTAACGTTATTATTATCACCATTATTATATTAACGTATTGATACTGACCAGTAAATTAAACAATTTGGACTTTATGCAAATTCAGGCTTGTTAATGACTTAAGATGGAACTGAGAGCATGGAGAAGAGAAAGAATCCACAACCATCTGCTTAACAAATGGGATTAAAACTGAAATTAGTGTTCGCGAGGAACATCTGCAATTGTAGTCATCTAGATTAACTTAACATATACCACTTAAGGTGATGCGTTATTGATATCTGCTTTCTAATGAATTTCTAGTAAACACAATGCAATCATAGAAATTTAGAGTCAAGAATATCCTATAATTCTAGCGTTTTAAGGTTTTTTATTTACAATTCTGACCCCTAAAAAAGGTAAATCAGGAGTAAATTAAAATCAAAATGTCATAAACTCACTCGGCATAGCCGTTTCACACAGTCGATATGTCTTGGACAAGCTAATTTAAAGCTTTCAGACGACGCCTCCCCTTGCTAATTAACACAAAATTAAGAATTATAAAAATGATGTTAAAATCAAGAACAGTTCGTAAAAACAAATTTGGAATGAATATGGTCAATCGTAAATAAAGTATCAGGCGGCATATCTGCCTTGGAATTCTGATCCGAAATTCTGTATTTCTATAGTTAATAGAAATTTTTAGTGAAAATACATACATCAGTATTCCAGCGTACTGAACCAATAGGGAAACACTGCTGACAAAAATAATATAGAAGTTTAATTTTGATTACAAGCTATATATAGTAAAATAAACACTCTCAAAGATGTCCTACTGTGGCCAAGTTACGATTATGCTATAACTGTGAGATGGCAGCAGATTAGAGGGGAGCGAATTATCGATCGGACCAAAAACGCGCAAACACGTAGAACGACCTAGGGTTCTGATTGGCCCCGCTTCCCTGTCTAACCCAACAACTGAGACCAGAAAGCAAGTCTCAGCCTCGGATATATGAATCATTATATTTCAAACATACTTTGTTTATATACCAGTCAATCAGACCACAACGTACCATAAAATAGAAAATAACATTGTACAATATTGACCAGTAGGAAAATGACAAGTGAAATAAGTACTGACCAATAAGTAAATAATACCATCTCCAAGTCCAAGAATAGCATTAGACTTAATAGGATAATTTCTGGGATATTTTCCTGAATATCCCAACAGATTAATCTCTACCTGACAAACGCACGGTTTCGAACACAACAACTGTTAAAGTGACACAATAATTACTGATCCCATTTTTTTTATTTAACCATGACATACACATGCGTTTAGAGAAGACACTTTCGTCACCTGACTTTTCAGGGGTTGATATTCTACCAGGAGATACGCTTGTTGACTTAAAATACCTAGATGATCTAGTTTTGTTTGGTGAAGATGCTGACGAAGTGCAGAGTCTTCTGACCACCTGGAGTAGCAATGCAAGTATGTTTGGGGTGCGATTCTCTCCCTTCAAATCCAAAATGTTGATTCGGGATTGGTTCGTGTCAACCACTGAATTATTGATTAGCAAAAAAGTAGTTGAATGCCTCGACCAACCTTCTTATCTAGAGAGTCTTATCAGTCGTGATGACCTGGTGTGTGACGAAATCTCAAAACCAATTCAACAGGCTCGATCGCCTAATGCCAACATGCGTCAATATCAAACCTGATGTGTATCTGCATCGGTTTAAGGTCCATATCCCATTAGCACAGAGAAATTATAATCTCAGACCAAATCTCAGTATAGTATAGGTAGTCAAGATATCGGCAGTAACAGAAAAGATTGGGAATTGAAAGCACAACTCGAAAACAAAATATAAATTTGTGCAATAAAAACAAAGAAAGTTGAGGAACCAACAACCCCAGGATTTGGGGGAAGACTAATGATGGATGCACCTGCACCAGTTAAAACGATTTTTAGCCATGTAATTCAAAGTTTCTTACCAATAATAAAACTGTCTGGTTACTGTTATAACTCAATTTTCAGCTCAACTAAACCCAAATTCAGACTGCCTATTATAAATAAAATGCCTTTTGTAAGTCGCTTACATAATAAACGACGCAGTTACAAAAGTAATAATATGTCCGTTTAGGTCACAGAAGTAAAACCAATGCTCTAGTTTAATAAAGACGTGTTTGTTAAATCTCGTCTAGTCCCCACCAATTCATTGAAGGAACACGTGCTCAAACAATCAGACCCGGAATTTCACTCCAAAATTATGAATAAATTAACGAGACAACTAATACATCTTCTGCGGAATCAACAATTCCATGATAAGTGAGGCCAAGAAATGCTTTAATAAGGCAGACTCTGGGCAATGGTCTATGTTCTTTCACCAGATTCCGCTCATTCTAATTATTCATTTACATTGGGTGAAATTCAAAATTGTTGTGAGACAAGTGTACCAGTCCTAGACGGAAGGAAAAGACTGATAAGTTGAAAGAACATTCTAATAAAGTTCAAAAACCGAGGTCAATTTGTCTACGTTTGGGGTATCGCTTTTCACGTCGAGTAGTGAAATACTGGAATACTCCACCAGAACATTAATTAATAAAGACGAATTGTTACGAACAAGTATCTGAATAAAATGGAGGACCAAAAAGGCCAGGTGACCAACGTTATGATGGTTAAATGTCTGATCCCAAGTATTTATTTACATCTACAATTTTTTCTTCAACTTCAATTACGTTGTAAGGACCAGATATCGTACAAATAAATTGATGTAGGACATCCAATTTGGTATATCAGCTCCCGGATAGTTAAAATGCGTACACCTACACTTCAGAGTAAAGCGTTGAGCAACAACAACCCAACAAAAATATATAAATCAACAGGACAGAGAAGCTTACCCACACAATCAAAACAAATTTCGCAGGAGTTACAACATCAACACGAACAAAACCATAGAGGACTTTCCCGGAAGAAAAATTATTCAGAAATTGATCCAAATCATGACCTGATAAACAAAAGACATACCATGAAATAAAATGAAAACAGTAACCTTGATCTTTGACGTCTAACGTATGAGTTAATCCCATATATCCAAAGATTACCCTAAAGAAATCAACATAATGTGTCATTTTTACCAAGACCATTTCCCATCCAAAACATAATTAACTGCCGAACAAAGAGCCTGTCCATTGGTATTTAGGTCGATCATAACAGTTCGCAATTACCCGCCTGTAACCTTGAAATGATATTATATTCAAATCTCCTCTCGATGATTCAGACTACTCAAATGAATCTGAACGAAATAAAACATTTTTTTCATTCAACTCTCTAGCGCTTCAAGAAGTAATGAATCAGTATTAGACAGTAATTATAGCTCATGAGTTTACTCTTGAAATACTCCTTGCGAGATCGATTTTGTCACCTCAGGATCCAGATCTCATTAGCGATCTCATCTCGTAGAAAACTAACTCGCTAAGGAAACGCTAACCAGAAAAAATAATTCAAACTACTTGAACTCTGCCCTGGAAGTTAGAAGGTCTTCATTTCTAAGAAATTCGTTGCCTCATGGTGAAAGCCGAATTCCTTCGGAAGCCACAAGGCCGACGCCACTTCTAACAACCAAAGCAACAATTTTCACTGGTACATGGAACATTCGAACAATATGAGGGACCTGGAAGACCAGTCAAATAGCAACGGAAGTGAGGAGATACAAATTGGTAGTACTTGAAAGCAGCGGAACCCATTGAATCCAAGTTGGACAACAAAGGCTAAATACAGAAAAGATGCTGCCATACTCCGTCCACGAAGAGGAAAATGCTCCACACCCTCAGGAATTCGCTCTAATGATGTCCAAAGAAGCACGAAATGCACTTGTAGGATGGGAATCTCACGGATCCAGAATCATCAAAGCATCATTCAAAACAAAGAAGGAGGGGATCCAATGTTATGCACCCATCAATGATAACAACGACGACGATAAAGATCAATTATATGAGGGATTGCAGTCAATCATAGAGAAATGCCCACGAAAGGACCTCACCATTCTGATGAGATATCTAAACTCCAAAGTCGGAAATGACAACACCGGATATGAAGATATCATGGGATGACATGTACTGGAAGAGAGAAACGAAAATGTAGAAAGATTCGCAATCGTGTGTGCATTCAACAAATTGGTCATACGCGGCACAATATTCCCACACAAACGTATACACAAAGCTGCATGGATCTCACCGGACCACACTACAGAGAACCAGATAGATCATATCTTACTTACGCCTGTTACTCCCAATGGAGCATAGGCCGCCGATCAGCATTCTCCAACCCACTCTGTCCTGGGCCTCATTTTTTAATTCCATCCAATTCTTGTTCATCTTTTTCATGTCTATTTCCATTTCTCGGCGTAATGTATTCTTTGGTCTTCCTCTTTTCCTTTGGCCTTGAGGATTCCATGTGAGGGCTTGTCTTGTGACGCAGTTGGGTGCTTTCCTCAATATGTGTCCTATCCACTTTCACCACTTCTTCCTGATTTCTTACTCCGCTGGGATCTGGTTTGTTCTCTCCAACAGTACGTTGTTGCTAATAGTGTTCGGCCAACAGATCTGAAGTATTTTGCGTAGACAACTGTTAATAAACACCTGTATCTTCTGGATGATGGCTTTCGTAGTTCTCCAGGTTTCTGCCCCATACAGTAGAACTGTCTTGACATTTGTATTGAAAATCCTGACCTTGGTGTTGGTTGACAGTTGCTTTGAGTTCCAGATGTTCCTCAGTTATAAATGTACTGCTCTTGCTTTGCCGATCCGCGCCTTCACATCTGCATCAGATCCACCATGTTCATCAATGATGCTGCCCAAATATGTGAAGGTTTTTACATCTTCCAAGTCTTCTCTGTCAATTGTGATTGGATTGGTGCATGCTGTGTTGTATTGGAGAATTTCGCTTTTCTCTTTGTGTATATTGAGACCTACTGCTGCTGAGGCTGCTGCTACACTGTTCGTCTTCTCCTGCATTTGTTTTTGAGTTTTGGATAGAAGGGCCAGATCATCTGCGAAGTCCAGATCGTCCAACTGCATCCTAGATGTCCATTGTATCCCGTGCTTCCCTTCAGATGTTGACGTCTTCATGATCCAGTCGATCACCAGGAGAAAGAGAAAGGGTGAGAGTAAGCAACCTTGCCTAACACCGGTCTTCACTTCGAACGACTTTGTCAACTGTCCTCCATGCACGATTTTGCAGTGTAATCCATCATATGAACTCTGTATGATATTGACTATCTTCTTAGGCACGCCGTAGTGTCGAAGAAGTTTCCATAGTGTTGTTCTGTCCACGCTATCAAATGCCTTTTCGTAGTCAATGAAGTTGATGTAGAGTGATGAATTCCATTCAATTGATTGTTCCACAATGATCTGTAAAGTTGCGATTTGGTCTGTACACGATCTATGCTTACGGAATCCTGCCTGTTGGTCACGAAGTTGTGCGTCTACGCAGTACTTCATTCTGTTTAACAATACTCTGTTGAAGACTTTTCCTGGTATTGAAAGAAGAGTGATGCCCCTGTAGTTATCACACTTGCTGAGATCGCCTTTCTTCGGTATTTTGATCAGAAGTCCTTCCTTCCAGTCTGTTGGTACTTGTTCTTCATCCCAAATCTTATTAAAGAGAATGTGGAGTATCCTTGCAGTTGCCGCTACGTCTGCTTTTAGTGCCTCTGCTGGAATGTTGTCTGGTCCTGCTGCTTTGCCACTCGTGATTTGTCTGATGGCCATGCTGATTTCTTCAATTGTTGGTGGGCCAACATTGATTGGGAGGTCCGTGGGTGCTGCTTCGATGTTGGGTGGGTTCAGTGGGGCTGGTCGATTCAAGAGTTCTTTAAAGTGTTCTATCCACCTGTTTTGTTGCTCTTCAATGTTGGTGATTACCTCGCCTTCCTTGCTTTTCACTGTTCGTTCTGGTTTGCGGCGATTTCCAGAGAGTTTCTTTGTTATGTCATACAGTTGTCTCATGTTCCCTTCGCTTGCAGCCTTTTCCGCCGTCTTTGCTAGATCTTCCACGTATTTACGTTTGTCGGTTCTGATGCTCTTCTTCACTTGTTTGTTTACTACTGTGTATTCAGCTTGTGCTTTGGCTTTTTCTGCTCTTGTTCGACTGGTATTGATTGCTGCCTTCTTGTTCCTTCTTTCTTGAATCTTATCCAGTGTATCAACAGTGATCCATTCCTTGTGATGGTGCTTCTTGTGACCCAGGACCTCATGAAATGTTGAAGTGATTGCCTCTTTGATCCCCTTACAGTTGCTCTCCACAGTAGTTCCTTCTCCATTGAGTAGATCATGAAAGGCCTGGAACTTGTTGCTGAGGGCTATCTTGAATTTGTTGAGTTTGTTAGTATCCTGAAGAAAGGCCGTATTGAACTTTTGTGATATTGTCCGCCCCATTGTCCAGTGCTTCTTGAGTTTCAATTTCATCTTGGCGACCAGCAAGTGATGATCTGATGCTATATCAGCTCCTCTCTTGGTTTTCACGTCCTCTATAGTCCTCCTGAACGTTTTGTTGATGCAAATATGGTCGATTTGGTTTTGCGTGGTGTGATCATATCTGCATCAATAAAAAATTCCGAAGGATAATGGAAGATGGGAGAACCAGGAGAGGCGCTGACGTAGCTTCAGATCACTACCTAGTTGTGGCCAATTTAAAACTGAAGCTAAAAAAGAACTGGACAAGTGGACAAACAGCACTACAAAGGTTCAATACAGCATTCCTTCGAGATACTGACAAACTCAATGAATTCAAGATAGCTCTCAATAACAGGTTCCCAGCCTTACAATATCTACTGAAAGAAGAAGAAACTACTATGGAGGACAACTGGAAAGGCATCAAAGAAGCATTAACTTCAACGTGTCAAGAGATTCTGGGTCTAAAGAAATACCATCATAAGGAATGGATCTCTACAGAAACACTGGACAAGATCAAAGAAAGGAAGAAAAGGACGACAGCAATTAACAAAAGAAATAGTCAAGGCGTTAGTTGAGTTCACAGAAGCAAACGGGCATGTGAAGAAGAGCATTAAAGCCGACAAGAGGAAATCCGTGGAAGAACAAGCAGCTGAAGGAGAATGAAATATGAAACACCTATATGATACAATGAAGAAACTAGCAGGGAAATATAGTAGAGCACAGACTAGTCAAGCACAAAGAAAGCAGGCCAATCACTGAAATTCATCAACAGCGAAACAGATGGGTAGAGTACTTCGAGGAACTCCTGAATAGGTTGGGTCCAACGAATCCAACGGACATCGAAGCAACACACACAGATCTTTCTACAGATGTCAATCGACCAACGACGGAGGAAATTAGAATGTCCATTAGACAAATCAAGAGTGGGAAATCGGCAGGACCTAATAATATCCTAGCTCAATAACTGAAATCAGACATCGAAGTAACTACAGACATCCATAACCTTCTATTCAAAAATATTTGGGAGGAGGAACGAGTGCCGATGGACTAGAAAGAAGGACACCTCATCAAGATTCCAAAGAAAGGAGATCTGAGCAGATGTGAAAACTACAGAGGCATTACACTACTTTCAGTACCAGGGGAAGTCTTTAACAGAGTGTTGCTGAACCGGATGAAAGATGCAGTAGACGCCCAACTTCGAGATCAACAAGTTGGATTTCGTTAGGATCGGTCATGCACAGAATCGAATTGCAACACTACAGATCATCGTCGAACAATCAATTGATTGGAACTCGTCACTATACATCAACCTCATCGATTATGAAAAAGGCATTTGACAGTGTGGATAGGAGGACATTATGGAAACTTCTTCGACACTACGGAGTTCCAGAGAAGATTGTCAACATTATCCGGAACTCATACGACGGACTACAATGCAAAATTGTGCATGGAGGACAGCTGACAGATGCATTCCAAGTAAGAACCGGAGTCAGGCAAGGCTGTCTACTCTCTCCCTTCCTCTTTCTTCTGGTGGTCGACTGGATTATGAGGACCTCGACATCTGAAAGAAAACACGGAATTCAATGGACAGCTCAAAATCAATTAGATGATTTGGACTTCGCAGATGACCTAGCCCTCCTATCCCATACACGCGAACAAATGCAGATAAAGACAGCCAGTGTAGCAGCAGTCTCTGCATCAGTAGGCCTCAGCATACACAAGTGGAAATTCAAGGTCCTCAAATTCAAAGCGGAGAACAGTAATCCAATCACTCTTGATGGCGAAACTCTGGAAGATGTAGAGTCCTTCACATACCTGGGAAGCATCATCGATGAACAAGGAGGTTCAGATGCAGACGTAAAGGCAAGGATTGGCAAAGCAAGGGCGGCATTTTTACAACTGAAGAACATATGGAACTCAAAACAACTTTCAACCAATATCAAAGTCAGAATCTTCAATACCAACGTCAAGGCAGTTCTACTGTATGGAGCTGAAACTTGGAGAACTACTACAACTACCATCAAGAAGGTACAAGTATTTATAAATAGCTGTCTTCGCAAGATACTCAACATCCATTGGTCGGATAACATCAGCAACAGCCTTTTGTGGGAGGGAACAAACCAGGTTCCAGCTGAAGAGGAAATAAGCACAAGACGATGAAGATTGATAGGACATACGTTACGCAGTTCATCAGTCTGCATCACGTGGCATGCCCTAACTTGGAGTCCTGAAGCGAATCAGAAAAGAGGAAGGCCAAAGAACAAAATACTTTGGGAAATAGAAGCAGATATGAAAAGGATGAGTCACAACTGAAAAGAGCTAGAAAGGTGTGATCAGGACAGAGTTGGATGGCGAATGCTAGCCTATGTTCTTTCACGAGGAGTAACAGGCAGAACTAAGTAATTAGTAGCATCTCTTCAATTCTTTAAAAACCTTTTAATTATCATCCAGATTGGTTTTGGGATTATTTTGATTCAAACGTTTACAATGTGCAAAACCTTAAGTATGAGGTTTTTCCCACCATTCCGGTGACTCCCATTTATTTGTACCGATTGTCGCTTAGTACCATCAGTCAGAACGAGTGCGCGGACCTTTCTGTATTAGGTTTCATTCTCCATCACAAGCATTGGTAAATTTTAAGAGGCGGCTTTTCTGCATACTTTCAGAATCCATTCTTTATCATATTCAATAAAGTTTATAATTTTCCTAAAGTTAAACGCAACAGCTCATTTTTGTTGATGTGCTGTTAAGACAACATTTTATTGACTTTTTCATTACAACATTACACGAAGTAGGAGATCTGAATGTGGAACCTAGGTAAAAAGTTTCACTGTTTTTCTTTATTGCCCATTTATTGAGCACCTTGGATTTATATTGTGGATACATATGCCCTTGACCCAAAGTGATCATAAACAGTAAATTTTCAAAAGTTATGAAACAACTTCTGAAACTTTTTCAAGAAACTGTCTCACTCATAAAGGAATATTTTTGGTCGAAAAATGTGGTAGCTTTTTCCAAAGAAGTAGGACCATGTTTTCAGACTTATTAATTGTTAAGGATTTTATAGAAAAGTTAGACTATGTTGACAAAGCATTTGAACTATTCACTGAAATTATGAAGTTCCGCAGTATATTAAAGCCGTGTGTGACGAAACTCTACAAATTTTGCAGTTTCACACTACTTCCATCGCTCAAAAGCGAGTTTATTTGTAAGTTGTTTCGCATGCGTGAGACAAGTCACGCATAAAATTACCACACAACGTTCCAGTAAATAATCATTATTTTTACAGTTATTTTTTATGTCTCATTACTTGGAATGGAGACTTTTGGAGAAAACGGATTGGGGCACTTTCTTCTTTTTATGAAAGTTCAATATTGTAAAGAAGTAGGTTCACTGATGTACTTATGTATGTTTCTCTAGATTCTTAGATTTTTATGTTCACCTGAAGTACTGCGTGAGCTGAAATCAGAATGGATTCATGTTTATGATGAATCGTTTGTTGATACTTTTCTGATTAAACCTCTTGTAAAGTTAGTTTTTATCATGAAAAATGTAATTATTTGACCACATTTACTTACTGACTTATTATTTAAATTTTATTCAAAAGGACTGTCGGTTAACATCAGCAGGCTGTCCTAAAGTTGGTATTCCAAGTGTTCATAGAGCATTCACGTTTTAAAGGCAGTACCTTCATTTATTTCTTAATGACGTTCTTGTTTATGCCATTAATGGCATTTGTATTGTTTTCTCACTATCTTATATCACTGTCAATCATTTGTGGCCACAACTCATAACATCTCTTAGCTTCACTGGCCCTACATGTGTATCTTCGAAGTATTTAATTATGCTTGTGAAATTTGACCAATTTTTTTTACTGTAATCGTATTATCTTACCATTTCTAACGGTTCTTCTGTCTTTTTTGCATCAATTAAACATCTGTCTATTCTTACAGCAAGCAATATTTTTATGGCCATACTAAGGCGTTAATTAATGTGCTAGACAAATTACAAACCAAGGCATGTGAGCTTTATTCCTGGTACTGTTACTGTTATAGTGTTGCTTTGCAAACTTATCTCAGTTCGATTTGAGAGTTTACTCTTAACTCAACTACTTGGTTGGAATCCTCAATAAGGACAAGCACTATAATTTTATGTTCACTAAACTTAATTTGATTTGAATACGCAGAACGATGTAGTTTGGTTAGTAGTAGAACCTGGGACACGCGCTTCGTTTTATTGAAACTCATCGGCTAGTTATACGCTTAAAAAGATCGAATTAATCCTATAATAACCATAGATGGATTAATTTAACTAATATTGTGTCTAAAATACTAGCTTTAATAGTTGCCTGACGCCTAGTAAAGACTTTTGAACTGCAGAAATGAGAAAGGCAGATGAGATGGTAGTTGTAGGTGTTAAACAGGAAACCGTGGAGATTGGTTTCATGCTATTTGGAACTCTTTAGCAAGGTTTACTTTTAATCTTAAAGGAATTGATGCTTCTTGACGGATTCGATACTGTGTCACTCAGCTTCACATTTGAGATGTTACCACTTAGCTACCCGGGCGGTGGCTGACTTTCTGTAGTACTGTGATGTATCTACAATTGATCGATCACTGGGTAGTGATCAATGTCATGTATGTCAGGTCCTTCTTGGTGCAGACGAAATTATATTAACCACGTTGCAATGTGATCACTAGTTTAGGTAACTCAACTTTTCGTGCATTATGTTGAAATGACATGGTGGTTGGAGGTAGTCGGTAGGAAACTGTGAACGAAGATTTCATTCATATTGGTCGGATTCGATCTGAATTACGATGGACCTGACACACATGGCATTGATCATTACCCAGTGGTCAATCATTTGTAAACAAGAAAATCAGGCTGGCTTCAGACCTCATCGTGGCTGCATCGACCACATATCCACCATTCGTTAGGTTTTAGAACACAGACATACTTATCGGCGTCTGACAATGATGGTTTTTCTTGACTTGAAGGCAGCATTTGACTCGGTAAATCGAGAGGTTCTGTGACAGTCTCTGCCATTGAAAGGCGTACTTCGGAAGTACATAAACCTGGTGAGGTCCCTTTACTCAAACACTACTAGTCGGATGAGAGCTTATGGCAAACTGTCATCTGATTATGCAACGTCGAGTGATGTCCGGCAAGGTTGTTCACTACCTCCATTTTTGTTCGATTTCGTCATAGACCTGCTGCTGGAAATAATTTTCTCGTCAACTGAATTTTCAGTTGATCTCCTACCAGAAGGTCCGCTTATTGACCTAGAATATGCAGATGACTTAGTCCCGTTTGGTCAAGACGTTGATAAATTTCAGAGTCCTTTGGTAGCACCGAGCAAGAATACCAGAATACTTGGGGTGCGTTTTTCTGCCTCTAAATGCAGGACTGGCCTGTGTCATCACTTGAATTAAGGATAAGACTGAAGCGGTCGAACGGGTTGCCAACTTCAATTATCTCGAAATTCTGGACAGCGCTAATGGGTTGGTGTCTGACGAAATCTCTGCATAGATTCAGAAAGCTCGTTTGGCTTTTGCCAACTTTCGTCACCTATGGGGAAGGCGAGATATCCGTTTATCAATTAAAAAACGAGCATACTGTGCGGCAGTTAGTTCTGTTATGGTTTACGGCTGCAAAACGTGGTCATCAATGGTTGATGATATTCGTAAGCTACCAGTATTTGACCACAGATGTCTTAGAAATATTGCTCGCATCTGCTGGATAAGTAATAGTCAGGCTGGACGCAGGGTGTTAAGGAATGATGGTAAATTAGTTGACGAGGTTGTGAATCATCATCGACTGAGATGGTTCGGCCACGTGTTACGTATGCCTGAAAACCGATTACCACGGCGTGTAATGCTAACCGGAGCTGGAGATGGTTGGAAGAAAGTAAGGGGTGGACAAACCAAAACGTGGCATCAGTTCTTGAAGTTACTAACTTTTAGTCTGAGCCATGTTGGTAGATGCAGACTACTTGGTTGGAGTCCGTGTGACTATCGTAACCAGTGGTTGGATACTCTGTGTCACATATCTCAGAATCGATCGCAATGGCTTAGGTGTATACACTCTCTGTCTTCCTCTAAACTATGAGATCAAAATTATTTCACACCTTTCTTTTTACGAATTAACTCTTTCTCCCTGTATCATATCCTTATATGAAAATTTTTTTACTACCGCTGAAGTAACCGTTTCTATGAATTCGGTGTTCTTCTTTTTGTGCTAATAAGGCATGGGAACGTGGATCGATTTATATATGTCCCTGGTCTAACGTTGTAAATAACTGACTGACTTATGCTCTTTTTAGGATTTGAACCCGATATCTCCTGTGTCAAACGTTCAGCGCGTTATCCATTTAGGTATTGCGTTTATTGTGAAATAGGCATATATCCCATTTCAATTTGTAATGGGTTGAATTGTCTTTGAGTAGTGACTAGTTTCAATTTCCAAACTTTAGGACAATAGAGCTAGTGGTAAAATGGCTTTATAATTCTAACCAAAAACCTCCAAAAATAGCTCTATGTGTCAGTTACCTCACTCTAAATATGTTCAGTATTTCATTGGTGATAAAAGTTGAGATATATGTTTAATTTTTCATCATTTTTAGATGGAAGCCCGTATTTATAGCCTTTCAAAAGTCTCTGGAATCAGAACAAAGTACACCCGATCATAAGAAAATTACAGGTAACTACCATATAAATACAGAATAAGTCGATATAACTGTATTTAATAGAAGTTCAACCATTCAGGTTAACGCAACCAAGGCCCCGATCTATTCTTATACCAGATATTGTAGTTTATCATAATTTACATATAGATCACTCATACGAATACCTTTTTAGATTCCAAAAATGCAAAAAATGCGCGACCCTCCATTGTCTACTTATAATCAACCACCGGAAATTTCTTTATTACTCATGGAAAAAAACAAGAATCATGAACAGGTATGTCCTAATGCCCTACACCTATTTGTTTACGCACCATCATCTATTTGAATGTCTTTCGGTAAAATGGTTTTTTGAGATAAGACCCGAAGGCCCTCGCCAGTTTGCGAGTTAAGCAAGTTGTATTTCGAAATTATTCCATACTTATATATTTTTATCACTGGAATTTAAATATTATACATATTTTAGATAGTCGAGCCTTATTCTTAAGCTAGTCATAAAGCTTTTCATATCTTAGGAATATCCAGGTCACTAATGTGCAGTTATCTTCATACAGAGAACTTAGTCTAAAGATTTGATTTTTTTGATGTTGATATCCTTCAGTTGATGAGGTCGTGTTTTAACTCTACCATGTAGAGCTTTTTAAATGATATGTTGTAATGGGATCTTTTTACGAGTGTTAAGTTACTGTTGTTTGGATTGTTTGCGACTGATATGTTTTATTTATCCATTAGTCAAACTGTAACACAATGTGAAGTTTAAAATGCAAATGATAAAATGGTAGTGAGAATAATGTTTAGCTTATACTACTTACAAATGTGTGAGTAATCTACATAAGGATATATACAAATTAGCGAAACAGTGTCACTTTCAATCTTCGTTTGATTTTACATGTTGATTAAAGGCTTTAATATGTTATTTTCAGCAGGCGAGGAACTAAAGAAAATCAGTGCTACCAGTTTACATACCTAAATTAGATAAATTTTTCTAGGTGTCAGCAATTTGAAGAGGTTAGCATAAATCTTTCGCACTATTCATATTCTGATTTGAAGTGTGATTTTTTAAGAAATAATAAGTTAGAGAAACTTTGATTCAGTTTATCTTTATTATCACTATTTTTGCTCAATTTATTGCAACCATGATCCTGATTTTTACATGACTGAGGTAGACATGTTCCGATAATCGAATTTTTACCAAACCATATCGTATACGTGATATGGTTTAGGCTGTGTTATTTTCTCTTATATGAATGTTCAACTTAGAAGCTTTAATTAGTTTTTATGGAAAACATCACTGGAGTTTACTCTTTACCTAAGTAGAATGTTTATTTATTCCATGAAAGCTAAATGAGACTGTTCTGATGATCTTTTAAGTAAGTGAGCGTTTTTGCAGGTTTTTATAATTTTGTTCGTCCTTATATTTCTGTTAAACGCATTATTATATTGTCTTCTGTCTACTTAGTCAGTTAAAATGTTTCATATGAGCTTGTAAATAGTGTTTATACTTATATGTCTATCAATTTGAGATTGACCTAAATGTCGTGTTTTCATCAATTCTCTACAATTCTTTGTGTTCTCCCAAATTTTGATCTCCTGATTCCCCCTTGTCTCTTTTTTTCTCTTCCCTAATTTATTTCACTGTATTATACTCTTTAAGTAACATCTCCAAACACTAATCTTACCGATTACTGCTTATACTCTTATTACCTCTACCACTACGGGATTTGAATCGACCACGGCATCTCTGTGCTAATGTGGTGTGGCAACTCGAACTGATGTACGTACGTACGAAGTTCTACGTTGTTACTGACTGACAATTCTTTGAATTCCCTCGATTTAGAATTTTGATGTTTTTTTAATCGACTATTTATATATAGTTGTCTGTGTGCACTGATATAGTTAATATCATGTAATTTCATTTACTGATAGTTTGTGTTCATTTATGGGCGAATTAAGGGAATGTCCATTTTGTCCACTATATTGTTTGCCTTAAATGGTGTAATTTATTTTATAGATATAATTGATATTGTCTTCTTTTTTCTGTTGTATCTTTTGCCCTTCATGATGTAGAACAGGATAAATTAATTAAACATATAACTCATTAGACAACATAATTTTCACTTTCTTGCATACCATAGAATCAAGTCTAGAAGTTCTACATTTTGTAATGATTGTTTATTTATTATTTGTAAACTATACTTGATTTTTTTTTCACTATAATTAGGTACATCTTGACATCTTCATGTATTTGATATGCATATACATTCAGTAGTTACTGAATTATAGTAATATTTCAACTGTTTATAATAATTTCATAAATTTGTTCTTTAAACATTTTGTAATTCCTTAATGAAATATTTAATTGTTTATTGGAATCAATATCATTTTTCTATAATTTTTGTTGTTGGGAGACTGAAAAGTTAAAAATTCAAAGTGATAGGCTTAAACCAAAATGTGCAGAAATAATTTATGGTGATGCAAAAACAAAGAATAATCAAAATGAATATAATTTTAAGAATGATTCTTCAGACAACATAGAAAATACCAGAAATAACAAAAGTATGATGAATCCTTCGGTCAAATTGGAAAGTCAAAGAATCAGCTCAAATAAAAGAAATTATTTGTCTGTTTTAAACAAAACCGCAGTGGTTAATACAAATGCTGTTAGTATATTACGTGAATGGAAATTGTATTCGGATAGAGAGAAGGAACAAAGACAAAAGTGAGATTTCTTTAATTTTCGTATATGAACAGAATTATTTGAAATAGTCAGTAGTATGATAAGCTTTATGCAAATCGGTTTTGTTTGGTAAGGATTTTATTGTTGTAAGTAGGTAAAAGTAGGCTGTTAACTGAACTGACAATCAGAAAAACAAGATATAACCAAATACTTTATTTCACACTCAGACTTGTGTTATTCATCACGTTAATCATATACTTTAGTGCTTGACTTTTTCAACTAAGAATAACCAGTTGGCTCGAGAAGGCGACTAATATGGATAAGTTTCTCTACCGTATGCATTACGGTTTTAGAACCTCTGAACCTTTTTCTAACCTTGAAAAGTTTTCGAACCATGTAAAAGAAGTGTATCCACTTTAATTCTTTAGTTTTATATAGGATATTTTTATTGTATTCTGACTGTTTTGTAATTGGTTAATACTTCTCAAGGTCACTTAAGATTCGTTCGAAGGTCGTTCATAAATTATATTCTCGCCGTTATTACATTATTCAATTAAAAACAGATAATGTTCAAAATTATACTTTTCCTGAATAATCCAGTCAAGAACAAGTAAACAAGATAAATTTACTTTTTGAAAAAAAACTTTTTGTAGGCTTTGTGAATTAGAATCTGGAGCGTTTACGAATGCTGCTTATAATTCTTGGAAACAAGAAGAAGAAATGAAAATTAAATTAAATCAACTGAAAAAAATGGAACGTAATCGTTTAAATGTAATGATAAGTCATGAAGCATCATCAACAGCTAAATTTGATCTTTGCTGTAAACGAAAAATTGCGGCTAATAAACTTAGAAATGAAAAACGTGCCAAGCTATTGGAATTTTTAAATGAAAAGAAATTACAACAGGATAAAATGAATAAAGTAGCCAAAGAAGTTGCTAGTTCACATGAAAATGCGAAAATTGCAAAGAAGAAGTTGATGGAAGAAAAGAAAAAATCAGGTTTATTCATATTATATATTTCTAATTAATTTGTGATTTATCATAGAAAATTGTCTGATATCCAATAGTGTCCATTATTTTGTTGATTTACATTAGTTAGTGATGGAAAACATTTTCGAATTGTACAAAGATTCTATGAAGTTATTCCACTTAATAAATGAATGATAGTGTGAATAAAACAATTAGATTTTTTTGAAATCCTAGTGAGTAGAAACTATCAGGTTTAACCTTAGTATTGATACCTACAAATGAATAATAGTTCATGATGTTTTAAAAATGTTACTGTCAGGTTGATTTCGTGATTGTTATGATTTTCTTACAAGTGATGAAAATGAAGACTTCTGTTAGAGAAACTGATGGTTTAGATTAACAACATTATTTTTTAGCTGATATCTTATATGTTAACGTCTTGTCAACCTTCTTAAATTAATTGGAAAGATTCTAAAATCTTAAAATGATTATGTTTCAGGCTAAATTTTGATTTTACAAACGTTTAACAAATAGTAAAACTATCATCTTTGTTTTACTTACTTTTGAATATATTTGAGCACTATTATATTTTATGACAATGACAATTGTTGGGGTTTAAGTTTTTAACATCATTAAAGTGTTTGATTTTTTTCGTCATACACATTTGATCGATAGCACCTAACTCTATAAATGTTCAATCTCATTGACCACAATTATCACCAAAGATTTTCTAGGATTGAAATTACTCAATATTTTTCAGATCATATATTCTCATACATCAATTAATTTTGTGTAAATTAATCAACCTTCCTAATATGACTCTACAAGTTGATTTCACTGGTCTAAAACTTTTACTAGTATTCTATTTGGAGTTCCTTATAAACGAAATCATTCTACATCATAAGGTTTGTATTATTTGTAAAAGTAATTTCAAATGAATTAATTTTTAGCTAGTGAAATACTTAAGGAAAGTAAACAACTGTTAGATGAAGCTGCAATAAAAGCCGAAGAGGAGAAGAAAATAAAAAAAGAATTGATAAGTCAGATTCAAGCGGAAGAATTATCGGCCATAATGACGAAATCACGAAATGTAAAACAAGTGAGCTTAATATAGATGAATCTAAAGTATTATGTGATATTGTTTATGCCTTTTAGGATACTAGCATTAGTCCTCTTAAATAACCTAACGGATTTTTATCATTAGCTGTAACTAAACGATAACAGATTCGTTTCAATAAAGCTTTTATATAGAACTTTAAACTGCGTTTCAAAACATTTGATAAGTTCTTTGTTACGCTTCTCTTTAACTTATCAAAAAGATTCACCTTGAAATACGGAGGTGAATGTTGAATCAATTTATGAAAGTCTGATTGAAAGAAACCTAGAACTGATGGGAGTTGGAAGTTTCATTTAATTTTTTTTGACTGTAAATACTATGGAAAAAATCGAAGCGATATATACTTTTAATTGTTGGGATAGCTCTCTAATTCCATACGCCAAATGACAAAATAAGTCCAGAAGGTTCTGTGAACAATTTTCATTATTCACAACATTGAGTAAGTTTTAGGAAGGTAGAAACCAGTTTATACTAAGGTGTTCATGGTTATCAGAAGTCATAGCGATAAAGCTATGGAAAATTTAGTAGAAAATATTTTTTGTCATTTTTATCATCTGTTGATGTTAGTTATGTCAACAACATCAAGTTAGGTTCCCAAAATGTGCCTTCACTTTTGTTGAATAAAAATCCTAGATAGCTTTTTATCTAAATTAAAAGAAACACTAGCTTGCAAATAAGAATGGCACAAAATTATCTCACATACCTTGCTATTCACACTAATATTCTTTTAATATTTGAGTTTATCATTTACTGATAGCGTTCTGAAGTTTGCAAATTTGTTTGGTTCAGGTTATTCTACTTTTGATTTATTTCAGTAGTGTGACAAGAAATCTGGATATTGTTGAATTTATTTGAACACCATTTCTAATTTAATAAACGATGATAGTGATGGCGATGATAATAATAATAATAAGTACATAGTAGTAAATATCGGATAAAAACATGTGTATGAGGATAGATTTTGGATGAGTAATACTGGTCACATAATTATTAGTAGAAACAATATAAAGGAGAATAATTCACTTAACTGAAAGAGAAGAAGTATGAATCAAGCCAATTTCTTGTGGTACACTCGATGGATTAACTCCGAAAGTTATAAATATGTATAGTAGACAAATGAATAGCTGGATATTCAAACGAAGTATTAGTTGGCTGATGATAAATCGTGTCATTATTAACAATCAGATATTACAGTGTAGTAAAACTTGAAACAAATGTAGAATAAATATCTAGTCGTAACATGAAAATAATGGCAAGAAGGTGATCTTAATATTTATGGCTTGGATTTATAAATTTGAAATTTCTAAAACATACTTTCATACATAAAATGTCATCTAATCTACTAAAATCCCCCATTTTTTTCTCATATAATGGTAACAACTTAAACAACTATTATTGATGAATGCAATTAGCAAGAAAAGTCTATGCACTGGTATAATTTTGACTTTCCATCATAGTTAAAGGGATAGACACACGGTTTGTGATCTTGTTTTGCGTTTAAAACATTAGCTTAAGGAGTTGTAGTTGAATTTCGTTCTTTTAAATACAAATTTAACCTAATCAGATTTCAAATTCTGAATTTAAACAAAGAAATTGTAGTAAAACAACAAACTATGCAAAAAGGTTTCGAAAATGAAAATTTATTTGCAATAACTACTTATAATAATTTTTATTCGTAGTGTTTTGGCCCTTTATCTGACTCCAGTTATATCGTATGATTAACTGTTATCGAAATATTTATTTCTCCTATCCTCGTATAAAATCATCGACTTAAATGGCGTTAGTGAATAACGAAATTAAAGTGGAGATGGTATATGAGTTAACTCCGTTTAAACAAGCGTTATTTATAGTCATACAAAAATAAGCTACATACATGTAATGAATAGGATAAGAAAGGTACATACATATGCTTACATAAAAAACAATCAAGATTGATATGTGAATAATTAACAAGGTCAAAATATGATTCACGAAGATTGGATAGATTGGCCTATCCATAAGTTTGAATAAGTTATATGAGCTTTACATAGTAACTGACACTACAGTGTACTTTAATTTGCTTAGAAGAAATATATTTATCATCATAGAAACATTTAAATAAGGTTTTTATTGATGATAATTATAATTTCGTTAAGTATTTAGCTTGATTATAAAAACATTCATCAAATGATAAAGAATACAATAGAGAATTTCTATAGAACACCACAATTGTATTTCTAAAAATCATGTGTGTTTCTTGTTTAAAACTAAGACTATTCTTATGGTATAAATTTAATTAATCCAGGCATTTCAAATAAAATCATCATTACAACTCTTCTGTATTATCAGTAACTCTTATGAAACATTCTTTTGTAAGTTTTTTTTTCTTTTGAAATCTTATTGAAAAACTAAATGTCAACATGAATGTCATACATATGTAAGTTAAATACAATAAAAGTCAATTATAGTTTAGTATTAAACTATTTCATGCTATAAAGTTTCATTTCAATGAGTTTGATAGTATGATAAAACAACATATTTCTATATGATATGAATTAGAATAGAATTAAAATAGTTCTACATAAATCAGAAGGATGATGCAATTCAGGTATATGGAAGTGATTTTTATATACTAAGAAATATGATGTAATTTTAATGTTGTTCTTTACTTGTATCTTCCCATTGTTATTTAAGACTGTAATTGATCAGTTTCATAATGGCATTTGTACATCCTGTGCGGACTACCTCGATATTGCCTTAGATCAAAAACCTTATTAACAAAGATGGATAGTGGCTAGCAGTAGAATCCAGGACGCGCGTTTTGTCACACTATCGTACAAGCGAGTGGCTATCTGGACTCAGTAACTAAGTGGATAACACGATATCCGCACAGGATATACATATACCAATAGGAGACTGATCAATTGCAGTCGTAAGAAACAATGGGAGGATACAAGTGAATTTAAAACATAACCCCTTTGCACAAGCAGGTAGCTATCAGGACTCAGTAGCTATGTGGATAACGCAATGGCGTTTGAAGCGAACGATACTGGGCTCAATTCTCGGAGTGAACAACAACTCTGAGATACAGGCTTTTCCAGCTGACGAGTCCCAAACAGGACGAAACGCGCGTCCTGGATTCCACTGCTAGCCACTATCCATCTTTGCATATAACGCTTGTGAGTTAAAGCTATATCAAGGTAATACGCACAGTATGCACATATGCCAATAAGAGACTAATCAACTGCAGTCCTAAACATCAATGGGAAGATTGAAACAAACAACAGTGAATTTAATTCATCAAAACTTTGAAAAACATTTAAACTGATATTATCAATCATAATTCAGATTATGAGAAATTAATTTATTATTTCAAAATAGAATTGGTTCCAGTCTCATTGGTTATCAGTTTTTTTTTAATCAAAAATTTAATAATTTATGTTTTAGATTGATTTAACCAATACACCCGGACATGGTTTACTAAATGAAATGTCTATAATTGAGTTAAGGGAACGCCTTAATCAATTGAAAATTAATAAACAACGTGAATTGGAAGAGAAAAGAGATGCAATAATAAATGATAAAGAACAAAAAACAAAAGTTTTATTAGAGTTACTTACTCGAATTGGCAAACACAGAAGTGTAAAAACTGTAGCTGCAACGAGAAAAATGGTAAATAATGGAGAGTAAGTTGAAAAATTCTCCATTTTTTTATCAATAAAAACAACTGAATTTTGTCAACGACTTTCCCCTATAAATGGAGTTTTATTGTTTAACATCGGTTTACTTGACTAATGTTGACTGAAACGTCACTAGATATCGAGGTGGATTCAAGAAAACGTTTCTTTTCATTTGGGATTACTTGGTAGTGAATACTCATGATACTGGACAGAATATTCAGGTTTAGTATTGAGTACAATAATTTGGTTCAATTAGTTGAAATTAAGGAGGTCCACTGTTTCAAATCGATTCCATCTTCAATCTATTCCATTGATGAGTAACTGCCTAAATTTTGACATGAATAATTTCCTAGACACGATATATGATGATGGAGCTGTTAAGTCCTCTTTGGTTTACAGTGTTTTTTCAGCTGACGTCAGCTGGTGTTATAATAAATATTTAAAAGCAACATTAGCTTAAGTGTATTATCCCCTCTTACTGAAATAAATAGGCTCTAAACTATCTCCAGCTTATTTTTTCCCACATACATGTACTTTTTAAAAACAATTCTTGAGTATTCGAGCTTCATCAGAACAGTATTGATGGAGATCCTCTATCCGAGTTTTTTTTTAAATGTACAAGTATATGGGGTAAAATAAGCTGGAGATATTCACTACCAGTAATAAGCCTCTATTCTTAAAAAAACATAGGACTCTAAAATATTATTTAACCATCTCAGTTAATTACGAAATGATTACATAATATAGTAACCTATGAAACCAGTAACTTATTGATTACTAAATAGTTTTATTAGATATAACCTTTGATACAAGATCTTGAATCCTTATATATAATTTTCTACCTATTTTTACTACATGATAATGTATGTGACATCTACCATTAAGCTTCTATATACTTAACGTTAACAAATAAAATGAAGAGAGCTGACTGTAAAGTGTTATTTCATATGTAGATAGACCCAGCTTTCAAACCATCAATATCCAAGTTTTCTAAAGATTAATGAGGATCTGTCAAACTCTACTATCACACAAAAAAGAGTTTAAGAATAAAATCATTATGGGAATTTGTGGAGGTTGTAGTATTTTGATAAACGAATTCACGTATTGATCTAAGCTTGAACACTATTCAAAACCCGCAAGCACTGGGCGGCCATTTAGTCACAATATGAGACTCCTCAGCAGTACGCATCCACGATCTCGCACGCATGACTTGAACCCAAAACCTTCGGTCCCTTAGTCTCTACTGCGACCTCCACAAATTTTTATTTTGATAATAATTATATGCTCACTAGTGAATGAACACATTGCGTTGGGAAATAGACGGAGATATGAATAACAACTGGAAATAGCTGGAAAGAATTGCCCAAGACAAGGTTGAATGGAGAGTACTGGTGGGTGGCCTATGCGTCTTCACGAGGAGTAACAGGTGTAAGAAAGTAAGTCACTAATTAATAGCTCCAAGATGGATTTCGTGGAGTTCTGTTGAGAATCCGTGACCAGTGGAGTTCAGTCCGTGTTGCGTGTAAGACAGTTATCTACTTCAGACAATGGATGAAAGGTTGCGCAAGATTGAGGATCGCTTGAAGTCAGACATTAACACCGATGGATTCCGGTTTAATGGTCTAGAGGTTAAGCGTTCGCTCTCGAAACCGAACGTACTGAGTTTAAGCTAATTATACCTCAATTTCCTAATATTTTCCAGTAATTTCCGTATGTTCTGTAATAATTCCTATCTGTTTGCAAACTTATTGATATTTTCATCAATTTGGCAGCATATTCAACTGTAACTATTCTGTTTACTTGAATAATGAAGTCATTCATCAAACCATAAATTAGTTTTTATTACTGTCGAACTTCAAAAATGTTTCGAAGAAATTTTCTGAAACCTACAGGCGGTTTAATTTGATGTTTTTTTCTTTTATGCATATTAAGGAAAATATTTTGTGTATTCTGAAACTTTTAATTGAATACTGAGTTATGTCCAAATATGTTTGTTTGAAAAGTTACTTAAATACTTGTAAAAATAATGAATGTTAACATTTAAATATTTAAAATGTGATAATTTGAAAACTTAATAATTCTGAATATTATCAGAAAGGTTTTTTTGTGTGGATATTATGGTAATTTTAATAGTTAAGATCATGAATCAATTGTAGCTAGACCATCATGGAAAACTTGGAAGCACTAGACAACCGTTTCGTTCTATTATGGGACTCCTTAGCAGTGCGCATCCATTATCCAGCCTCACGAGATTTCAATAATTCCTCATAATTCTTTGAAACTCAAAGTCAGGAATATTTGGTTATAATCTTTTAAACATTTATTAATAATAGAATCAAAGTTTGGCTCTATCAATCGAAGTATGATAAAAGGATTAAAAACATTGACTAAATCATCTTTTTTTGGTTCAATGGAATTGTGTATGTACATTAATACATAAGATATAAGGATAATTTTGCTGTGTCACATTCAAATAACAACTATAAACCAATCGATAAAGTTTTTTTTCACTCCGAAGGTATATTGCAACAGTCTCACTCTGTATGATAATAACGCCATTTATCACATTCTCCAGGATTTGATTAATAAAACATAAAATTTTACAATGATTTGAAGAAGGCTAAGTTTTACACTTTAAAAAAATATTTTATTATATATATATATTATGAGTGGAAGTGTAGATCAAGTATCATATTCATATCATTTCAGTGATTGGAAAGAATTTCATGTATAGTATTGTGAGCAGAAAGTATACATTTAGGCAAACAATAAATGTCTATGTTGTGATACATGATTATTCGGCAAGACTATAATTCATGGACGAACCAATCAGTTATAAGATAACAGGTTTCAGATTTTGGCGCGAAATTCACCCATCCATTTAGTTAAATAGAGTTTTGACATTATAGCTGATGTCAGTTTGTGATGAAAACTTTGAATTTAATTCCTAACTCTAACGATCAACTGTAAATTATAATTATAATTCCTCACACTGGTTTATCACCCTCATTTAGTCTTAGTTATAAGGTGAACATTCTCAAGGTCACTTGAGCGTCACTCAAAGGTCGTTTATAAATTATAGTCTCACTGATTATTCTTATATTCTTTACATGTATGTGTATACATTTAACCGTAAGAATCTGTAATAATTATACAGAACATCACATTATTACTATTATTATTATTCATCAACATCAATACCATTCATTAAATTTTATTAACTTGTAACACTAGTTCAATTAAATAATTTTAATTGTATTTTGTTATTCGTGATGGGAACTTGTCATATTGTTTATTTCAATAAATAAATAGTAATTCGCTTAAATTAACTCGACAATTTAAATGTGTGTGAAAAAAATGTGTTTTTCAAAATAAAAACAAAAAAACGAACAATATTAAAATTGTATGAATAAATCGATCAAATTTAAAACAATCACGTAGTTACATTCATATATTGTCGTTTAACTTAGCAACTCCAGTGGTCTTGAGTGCTGTTAGAGGTATGAGGGCGGTTATCACTTCCCGGTTGCCCACACCATGGAAGGGTTCTTCTGGAGGTACCTGGAAAGGAAATTGGATTAAAGCTGATCTTAGTGGCCTGAGAGCGTGACCGCAGTGCCCAAGGGACAACTGCTTGAGGTCGGTCACACACGAGCGTTAGCTCCGTACTTGTTGAGACCTTACCGCCGGAGACGGATATCCGTGGGATAAGGTGAGGTGTGCACTTTTAGGGTCGACCTTTTCTAACCCCACCCCTCCTTGTGGGAAGGCAGCATCGCAGTCATGCTGGTTGTCTAAAGGAAACACCTTAATGCTGTCACACCTCTGTACAGTCAGCAGTACGGCTTCGCCTTCAGACCTTGGGTTTGTTGCTTTTAGTCTTACCGCTCTTCAACCGACCTTTCTGACGTGGTAGGACCTTGAGGAACAGTTGTTCCAGTCATTATAGCTCGGTTGTTTCATCACGATAGGCAAGACCGACCATCACGTCAAGGTAGCAACAACGGTCGGGAACTTAGCGACTATATATATATGTATTACTCTTTAAATTTATAATAAAGAACATTGTAAAATATTTTAGGATATGTAAGATAATTTGAAAATGTCATTGTATAGTGAATGAATGAGAAAACAAGTGGAGACAACCGAATGTATTTAAATATAAAATTACGGAACATCTTATTAAAATCTGGGAACCATACAGTAGATAATTCATTTGAAAAATGTTAATCAATTGTTTCAGAATTCATTGTTCCTTTGTTTTAACAGTAATCATTCTCTGTTTTTGTTCTCTTACCTTCGATCTTTTTAACTTTCTGCCACCAAGCATTTCACTTTCGATTGATGATACATACTATTTGTATCTGTCAAAATCAGTAGCACACACCACGATTGGAAATCACAATTACATTGTTACAGCTTTTTTCAGTTTTTATTCTTTATTTATTCAGACACATAAACATTGGTACATAGAGGCACCAAATAGGTATGTGCCACATAAATCATTCGATTTGTGTAAGAGCTACAATACTGCTCAGGTGCCCAAATTGAAGCAGATGGTTTCCCTAGTGGGCCACACCCGGAGCCTTTGACTTGAAGGTCTAATCCACAAGGCTGTGGAGCAACGTAAGGAGATGCAGTCGCATGGTAGCCGAAGACAAACGATTGGTTCGTACGTCATTTGAATTCTCAGGATCTTGGGGCCTATTTGCACTATTGGTTTGGAATCAGGGTTCTCCAACTCTCCTAGGTGGATCCTCTATACCCACCAACCTAATTAAAGCACGGGATATTCGCGTTTCGTACTCTCAGTTTCGTAAACAGCACCTCCGCCACGAGAAGACAATGAGTAGAACTTCTCTGGCAGTGGTTGTATACACGTGGCCATGTGAGAGCATTTCAAAAAGAAGAGCTGATTCTCCCCACTCTCGGCCGTACCATGGGCTTTTTTTATTCAATTAATAGTATTACTATGTCTACCTAAAAAAAAGCTTTGTGCAATAAAACAGATAGAAATATAATAGCCCCAGCTTATGAAATTATGTGTAAAAAGAAAGAATAATATGAATAAGTATCTTTGTTTAAATAATCATGGTTTATGTTTCAACAACAATACTGCTTAGAGAGCCAATCTACAGGAGAAGATTCACTTAACTAACCATAATTCAGTCTAAGATGTAAAAGTCTAATCCAAAAAATGACGTTTGCAATTTCATCTGATCCTATCTCGTGGTAGCTGATAAATCATGATATTGACAATCCTCTTGAAAATTGAAGGCATTTATACTGTTTTAATAACACTAAACTTGAACTATCTAATTGGAAGAAGTAGGCAAAATTTGTTTATGGGAAAAATATTAGTTCACAAATGGAAATTGTTGAAAACAATAACAATCAATAACTAGAGTTATGCTAAAGTTAAATTTCATGTTTAAAAATATGGAAAAATTAATCAATCGAAAAGATATTCTCATTTGTATAACACTTATTAGAAAAAACTTTCTTGTCCAGTAATTCTCTCTTGAGTCACAATATCATGAATGAGATAAAAAGTTAGGTAGGAACAATACATTAGGAGTGTTATTTTAAAAAAATGAAGTTGGCGCCAAATCTAAATTCCTAAGTGTTATTTAGAAGGAATTTGTACTCGCTAAAATTGTTATTATTATTAGTTTTATCCAACATTATATTTTTTGGTACAATATAGAATTCTCAGCAGAAATTACTTTACCAATTTTCCATTTCTTACTTCTTGGTCGATCCTAATGATAAATATTGAGTGATCGCCAGTTAGAAGTTAACAGTCCAGTAAATCAACATTTAAACAATGTACATTCTTTTCGCTGCATATTGGCAGCAACCACGATATATCTGGTTGGGCTTTTTTTTAACTTGTACAATAAAAGATTGTAAATTTTTCAGAAACGCACCTGAATAAGTTACGCGATTAATAGGCGTAATGATCTGCTAAGACAAACAACGATAGACAACTTGTTGAAATATCTAGATGGTATGAACAGGTAACCCAGATGTTCAATCAAGCCGCCATTGCTACTTCGTTCCATGTGATAAACGTAGATCGTGAAATTCAGATGGTATAGTTCATAATAATGTTTCAGTTGGCTTTTTGAATGAAGTGATAAACTAATTTTAAAATCGGTCAGATAATTATAACTTGTTTTTTAATGAAAAAATAAATTCTCATAGTGATAGCCAGACAGCCAACAATAACTTCATGTTTGCATCATTAACTTTAATTGTCATCAAATCTATTCACCATACATCTATCAAGTATTATCTTATAACTGATTGATGGATACTTGATGTTTGGATTGGCGGCCTACTCAAATACCCTGGACTACCTGTTCCTGCCATCTAGATATTTTAACAAGTTATATTTTTGTTTGTTTTAACACACATATTGCAAAACTTATTCAAGCGTGTTTATGAAAAGTTTACGATATTTTGCCGTAAAAGTTACAAAAAAATTTAATCATAGACATCGTGGTGGTTGGAAATATGCATTGAAAAGGATGAACATTACTGAAATGTTGATTCCTGAACTGTTAACATCTAAGTGATGATCACTTGACATTTATAGTCAGGATCGACGAAGAAGTAAGAAACGAGAACTTGTTGAAATAATTTGTGCTGAGAATTATATATTGTACCAAATAATGTAATACTGAATAAAGCCATTAATAATACTTATACTTTTAGA